ATATATATAATTATAATAAAGTTACAATAAATTAAGTTAATATATAATTATATATACAGTACCTAATTTATATATAATTAATATATAATTATATGTACAGTTCCTAATTTATATATAATTTATATATAATACTGTACAGACGATAGTAAACTCAATTTACCCGCTTAAACTCTCCATAGCGTGGCGCTGGACGGCAAAAAATAGTTCGGCTGCTTGTCCGCGATGACAAGTTGGCGATGACGTTTTACCGCGTTTTACGCGTCCCTTTTAGCGTCTTTATACGAATATTGTCGCAAATTTTTCGCCGCATTATAGGAATCTACGTTATAGGAACTCGCGTTATAGGGGGTCTACTGTATAGCTTTGTAAAGAAACGTACATAAAAATAACATAAAATATTATTTACTTTTTAAATCTTAAAATAATGCACTTTGTCAAATAGCTCCCTACGAGTGGCTAACAGATGGAATCGAAGACGGTTGCGGAGCGTGCATACACGCGAACTGCCAAATCTCCAGGGTGCCGATACCGGTCAATGTCAAATACCTCTTTTGTCGCATCACTAGTATATCTCAAAGGACGCGACAGGACTGTTGTAGATTTTAAACGTTTCTCACCATAGCTGTAAAAATCTAAATATGTTAAACTTAATAGATTGTCCGTCGTTTGTTTTCTAACTAATTCGTTTTAGGACCAAGTGTCCTCAGAAATTTCCAAACTTTACAACTTTTCGATCACTCTCGTTGAACTGGAAAAATTTCTGCCTTTATTACATTAATAATACGAAGAAATCAGTCTCTACTGTACTCGGCTAGAGATGGTTCGGTTAAGCTTTTGTTTAATTAAGTAAAATTTCGGCTGTTTCATCAGGGTTTTGTTTATGTGCCCAATTCCCTAATCGCTTAATTATTTAACTACTTCTTAAGTAGAAATAAGTCGAAACCGGTTACTTTGTACTCAAATATTTGTAGTCTCGGGAAAAAAAGTGAAAAGACAAATTTTTATGACAACGGATACATGAATCGTAAATTTAAGGAAAATAAATTCTAGAGATTTTTCTGTACCTCGTGCATCTCTCTCATTCATTAAATGACGCTGTTAAAGTAACAGTTAATTTTTTAACATTATACAAGAATTGTACTGTACACGTTTTTTTCTACATCCCCTTACAGATGGGATATACGAAATCGTAATATCTGGTTTAACATTGAAATTCGTGAGTAATATAAAATCGGAGAGCAGAATAAAAATATCAAATATTTTAATGGATTTTTTTAACTCCCGTCAACTATACAGAAAATTATCGTAAAAACATACCAGTAAATTCTTATCGGTTGGGTTAAAAGACTAATCTGAATAAACTAATTTTAAAATAAAATAAAGCATATATGTATATATATATTANTATATATAATTATAATAAAGTTACAATAAATTAAGTTAATATATAATTATATATACAGTACCTAATTTATATATAATTAATATATAATTATATGTACAGTTCCTAATTTATATATAATTTATATATAATACTGTACAGACGATAGTAAACTCAATTTACCCGCTTAAACTCTCCATAGCGTGGCGCTGGACGGCAAAAAATAGTTCGGCTGCTTGTCCGCGATGACAAGTTGGCGATGACGTTTTACCGCGTTTTACGCGTCCCTTTTAGCGTCTTTATACGAATATTGTCGCAAATTTTTCGCCGCATTATAGGAATCTACGTTATAGGAACTCGCGTTATAGGGGGTCTACTGTATAGCTTTGTAAAGAAACGTACATAAAAATAACATAAAATATTATTTACTTTTTAAATCTTAAAATAATGCACTTTGTCAAATAGCTCCCTACGAGTGGCTAACAGATGGAATCGAAGACGGTTGCGGAGCGTGCATACACGCGAACTGCCAAATCTCCAGGGTGCCGATACCGGTCAATGTCAAATACCTCTTTTGTCGCATCACTAGTATATCTCAAAGGACGCGACAGGACTGTTGTAGATTTTAAACGTTTCTCACCATAGCTGTAAAAATCTAAATATGTTAAACTTAATAGATTGTCCGTCGTTTGTTTTCTAACTAATTCGTTTTAGGACCAAGTGTCCTCAGAAATTTCCAAACTTTACAACTTTTCGATCACTCTCGTTGAACTGGAAAAATTTCTGCCTTTATTACATTAATAATACGAAGAAATCAGTCTCTACTGTACTCGGCTAGAGATGGTTCGGTTAAGCTTTTGTTTAATTAAGTAAAATTTCGGCTGTTTCATCAGGGTTTTGTTTATGTGCCCAATTCCCTAATCGCTTAATTATTTAACTACTTCTTAAGTAGAAATAAGTCGAAACCGGTTACTTTGTACTCAAATATTTGTAGTCTCGGGAAAAAAAGTGAAAAGACAAATTTTTATGACAACGGATACATGAATCGTAAATTTAAGGAAAATAAATTCTAGAGATTTTTCTGTACCTCGTGCATCTCTCTCATTCATTAAATGACGCTGTTAAAGTAACAGTTAATTTTTTAACATTATACAAGAATTGTACTGTACACGTTTTTTTCTACATCCCCTTACAGATGGGATATACGAAATCGTAATATCTGGTTTAACATTGAAATTCGTGAGTAATATAACATCGGAGAGCAGAATAAAAATATCAAATATTTTAATGGATTTTTTTAACTCCCGTCAACTATACAGAAAATTATCGTAAAAACATACCAGTAAATTCTTATCGGTTGGGTTAAAAGACTAATCTGAATAAACTAATTTTAAAATAAAATAAAGCATATATATATATATATATTAATGTAAATTTAAAGAAATTAATAATTATTAAATAAATTTAATAAAGATCTTTTATATTAAAATATATTATATAATTATCTTTTGAAGGACTTACTGTTGCATCCTCAAACGGGAAAAATGAGAACTAAATTTGTCGATTTATTTGAATGCGTGAATGTTGTTATCGGGCTTTATGAAAAATTAACATCGAATTGAATAATTAAATTAATAGAAGATGCCTCTACCTTCTGCTTTACTCTCCAGGTTACAGAAGAGAGGAATAATCAAAGCTGAACCGGAACCAGGTTGATTATTTTTATGTAGTAACTCATTTAATGTATTGATGCTTTGTTTATTTCAATAATAATTTATATTAATATTATCGAATATCAGAATTAAATCGTGACATTTTAAATGTTTACTATCGATCAATGAAAATAAATCGTATTTTAAAAAAACTATATTTAAATTCAGTTGTTGAAGCAGAACCCGAAGAGGAGGTTATTGCTGAAGATTACGACGATTCTACAAAAACAGCTGATATACCGTTACCTCAACAAGAAGAAGTACACGAAAACAAAGAAAGCGTTGTAATTGGTTGTCCTAATAAATGGAATATTTATCACGAATGTTCGGCATTTTGTAGAGAACATTGGGGTGCTGGAAAACCTAATCCTTCCCCAAACACAGAGAGAAAACGTTTAAAAATGTTAAAGAAGTATCCATTGCCTGATGGTTGGGAAGAAGTATATGATCCTGGAACGTAAGTATGATGATTGTAAATTATTAAATAACAAGGAACAAATACATTATTAAAGAGTATTTTGTTGATATTGTTTTAAAAACCACATTTAAGATAGCTTCTTTATTTTTACACTATTCAAATTTGTTTTTTATAAATCAGTTTTAAAATCTTTTATAATTTCAATTTTAAACAGAGGAAGATTTTATTACTGGAATATGACAAATGACGAAGTGTCTTGGTTGCCACCGAATCATCCGAGGGCGAGAATAACTTTACCTGCCGATAAATTACGTGGTAAACATTTTAGTTCTCTACATTTTATCATTTTTGTTTTTGTCGGTATTTCAGTATATTGTCAAATGCTTGATTACAGTACTTGAAATAGAAATTTGTTTTTTAATAAACTACACCACAAAACACCAGGATGTGTTAAATACTGCACTCTTAGAACCTATAACTGGTGTGATATAAAACAACAAAAGATAAAGATCACCACAAACATTTTTGAATTTTTAATGAGTTTTCGTTGTTTTTTAATAAGAAGAAATATCATATATTTTTTAAACATGATTAATTTCTTATATTTTAAATATTTACATTAATTTTAATATTTTTGAATGTATTATAGCATTGATGAAAGACACAGAAATGGAGGATATGGATGCTGATGGTCAAGCTGATGATGACAAAAGTGGTAGTGTAAGTAATATCTGTTTGTTTCTATTTTATTTCATATCAAAAGTTTCTTCTTCAGAAACTTGCTTATGAAGTAAAACAATTTTTAGAGTTTACAACTTCAAAAACATGATTCTTATCATTAAACAATAACTATTAAATTATGTGTTCATTAATAACATTAATATACAGAAAATATTGATGTTTTCTAAATGACAATTTCAATATATTATTTGATTTTCTTATCTGCAAAAAATGTTATCTAATTTTATCTGCAATTGAAAATAAATTATAACATAACAGTTACTGATTTAAAGAATTACATAAATACATACATACAAAATATAACAAATATATATGTTATATTTTGTAAAAAAATAAATATATATATATATTTTTTTAAACTTCTACTAAATACTTAACTGGAATGTATTAAAAGAAAGTTCAAATACACTTAAACTTCTGTTAATGCCTGATAAAATTGCAACTTGCAAACAAAAATTTTATTGTTAATTAATCAAATATAAAAGTTTATAAAATATAAAAAATTTTTAAAGTTTATTATTATATTTTATAATCCTGAATTTATTTATTTTAGGAATCTGAAGATATTGATGATGAAGGTGATAAAATGTCAGATGATGATGATTATAGAGAAAAAGAAAAACATCGAAGACGTTCATCTCAACGATCTAGAGAATATGGTAATTTTATTTTAAGTTATGATATACACTCACTGATAAAACAAAAAAGTTATTCACTGAAATAGAATTGAGGCCTTTTTTGCATTCGTACTGTAGAAAAAAAATCATTTCTATTAAATTGCATTACACGTAGACATCTTTTGTTCCCATTTAACAAAACAGTGGGCTATAACAGTGATGGTTTTGGTGTAATTACTGTACATTGTAAGAAAACCTAATGACAGGACCTAAGAAAAATTAAATTTTGGTAACTGACATGCTGTTGTTCTTAGAAACTTTATACCCACAGTTCTTTTTTCGTGAAAAGGTTTGCATTTGTCATTTCTGAGTCCTCGCAGCCACTGATGCTGTCTTCCTCTTTAATGTCATATGTTATTTATCATCTATAACACTTGACAGACTTTTGTAGAACTTCTTATTCTCCATCTTCTATAGGAATGATGATAGCTTAAGGCAGTCCACAAATTTCTAGTCTGGTGTAGATATTAGATCTTTGTAGGCTTGTGGTAATGTCAACTCATTGATCCACTTCTTGGTGCTTCTAATCTGAATATTTTTGTGTGACCCAGAATATGTATTATGAATTTAAACAACCTTTTCATCTTCAATGACTTTTATAATTCTTGCTGATTTGAAATTCAACTGTTAATAAATGGGTGATGCTTGTGTGAATTGCCAGGGAGGTCGGGAACCGTCGACTCTCCCTTTTCGGCTACAGGTCGTTAAACCTGCTCACTTGTCAAGATGGCTAAATTTCAAATGTGGTCCCGAAGGGTCAGGATGCTTTTTGTCAGGTCGAGTGGACGAGGTGAGAGGGGTTGTCGAGGAGGTGAGAGGGGTCGTCGATGAGGTGTGGGCGATATGCGAGTAAAAGGACACCATTTAACAATGGAAACAACGATTTATTAGATTAACGAAAAAGAAAGATTACAAAATTCGCTAGCTCCTAACTCACGGAGAGAGAGTTTACAATTATTTGTTCCATACTCTAGTAGATTTCAACGTAGGCACAGAGTTCGACGCACAAAGTAAAAATTCCCGGAGACTTAATCCTTTCAGACCGTAGATGTGAGACTCCCCCGAGGAGGGGGAAAGAAGTCACTTTTATAGCTTTGGGCAGGGGAAATTGGTCAGGTGATCCCCTATTGTGAGAAGTAGAGTTGGTCCTGCAGGTGTGGAGGTTAAAGTTGTTCCTGGGACCAAAACAAAATGACGAATTCGGACTTTAACTATAAACTTTTTGTCTTGTAGAAGAGGAATGCCATAGTTCAAGGGTTGAATGTTTATATTAACGATGAAAGTTATAAGTTTCAATCGATATTTGATTCTTTTTTCCCGACAATGTTATTTTAATGAGGAGGCGACAAATTTATTTCAAATACGTCGAAAATTTTAGGGGAAAAATGAACAATTTTGGCCTTATTCTGAGGTCGGATCTCACATTCACTCCACGCTTTCTTTAAAATCACACTTATTGTAGTGTGATTTTAAACCTTTTGATTGTTCTGTCTAGGTAGAGGTATGTTTACATAGATAAAATGTTGTTTTTCTTTCTCTTGGCAAAACAAAAATAAAGTTTCTTTTGGTTATCAAGATGCCGTGTTAACAGCAATAAAAGAAAGTGATGTGAAATTTAACACTATAGCTATACAAAATAAATCCTGGCATGTATCACTCGCGACAATATTTATTGCTAGTAGTTGAAGGACGGGTGTCTTCGAACTATAAAGGTTGATTGGTCAGTTGAAGTTCTCGATGACCTGGATACGAGGGTAACAGTTCAAAGTTCGAGAGGGGTGAGTGTCCATTAGACAGTCTTTGGGAATTTCTTTGTTCTGGTGAGCTGGATGGTTCGTGGAATGATGTTCACTGTGAGAATGTATGGTCGTTAATTGTGGAGGATGCTGGAAAACTGTAGATAAGTCGAGAACACGCTGTCGACGCTAGTAGGGTTTTTCTATGCGTTGAGGTCCCAGGAAAATTAGTTGATCGGCTGTAGCGTCACGTGGATCCGATGTCTTCGGTGAGGGTGACGAAATGGTACTGTTCTTATATTCAAAAAAAATAAAGGTTAGTAAGGATTTAGTTGTTAAAAATTGTCCTTGAGTTTGGACTAGAGGTATTTAGATGGATACATCACGCTTTGGTGTACTCTCTCTCGATAATCTATCTCTAATTATTGAAAAAAATCTTTTGAAATCTTATAAACAAAAAGATTTTTAAGATAATATTCTAGCATTCGAATATATTTTATGATACTCTACGAATATACGAAAAGCTAATTGTTTTTTGTAAGGAAAATAAAAATATAACTAAGAAATATAAAAAGGATTAAAATATATGTGGTTATATGAGTGTTGTTGAGGGACCCCTTAATATGATAGAACAATAGGCTTTGGGGTTGGTTGGGTTGGGATGCCTCGGGGCTTAACTTCCTGGGAAGGGAGTGGTTCGGTACTTGTCTGAGGGTGCCCTTCAATCTCGTGGAGGAAGATTTCTTCTGGGTTGTCCTCTTGTGGTTGTTGTTGAGTCATTGTATGAGTTTTCTTGTGTCATAAATAATAACAAAAGACAAGTTATTACTTAAGATTAGGTAGTATTTGTTCTCTCTTGGCTACTTTACTCTCGGAATGAAATGGTGTTGTATTGACAAGTTTACAAGTTAATTAAAAGGTTAAGGGGACGAGGATCGGCTTGTGGCGGGAGAAACAAGTCGGGGTATGCGACTATGAGTGGGTCAAAGCATTACCCATGGTTGATCTGGTACAGGGCCTTGACTTCAGAGTGCATAGCGAGGAGTGGTCTCTTGTTCTTCTTCCGTATCCAATTCATGGACTTCGCTTTCAGGCTCAAGTTTTTCACTTTCCATTTCGCTTTCCAGTTCCATTTGTTCTTCCGGTAGTGGAGGGGGTATAGAGGCCAAAATGAACTCATCCCAAGGGTCAGTAGAAATTATCTGTTATTAGTGGGATTCTCTGGGTCGTTCGACGGTCATGTCGATGTTATCCCGTTGTATTCTAGGTCGTTTAAATTTTCTATGGGTTGTAGTTTTCCTTCTTGCGCTCCTTTTCGGTCGATTTCTTTTCCTTTTCCCTGCGACAGGAGGATGTCCAAAGAGGTTTTCTCTCCTTGATTGCAGTCTTTTCACCTCTTCTTCCTTTGGCACGGCCGTAGGGGTGTGCAAAAATGTATAGATTTCCAATTTGAGAGAATCACTTGTGCATTATCATAGTCTAACGTTAGTCGCGCTCCTTCAATGACATCTCGGCCTAAGATCCCGTCACAAGGGGTGGTGACCTCAGCTCGTACAATAGCACACTGCATGCAAAGTTTCCTTCCACATAATTTAAGCGTGGTTATTGCTGTTCTTATAGTGGTAGAGGGCTTCCCTAAGACGGTTCCCAATTTTCGTCTAAGTCCAAATTTGATATAAGCTTTCCCTTTCAGTCTATTCGCTAGGTCATTTGATATGAGCGTATGTTCCACTCTAGGGTCAACTTGCATTTTCACGGGGATATTATTAATATAGACTAAAATGACAGGGTTAGGTCTTAAAACGGTTGTCGTTGATCCTATTCTGCCTTTCCATCTCGTCTCGTTCTCCTCTGTAGGATTTCTTTTAAGGTAATATTGAGATCGTTGTTCTCTGATACTACATATATTGCCATCCCATTTACCTCGATTCTGAAAGTCGTTTCGTGGGCGCATAGAGCGTTCGCTAGGTCGATTAATCGGTTGAGCGTATCGGCGATTAGGGGAGTTTGAGCGATATTCGCTTCGATGGTATGTTGGATTATTATAACCTCTGCGATTGGTTCGGTGCAACGTCGGACTTCTAACATTAATGGGGAGTGAGCATCTAATCAAACCATCCATTTTAGCTTTTAATTCTTCCATCGTAAGTGTTAATTGCTCCATATCAGCTCTAGAAGGGGTAGAGTCTGTAGTACTTTGATTTTCCCGGACCATTCGCATAATCCCGCGAGGCTGTGCAGTAAGTTCCTCGATTGTCTCCTCACTTATTGCTGCCTTCAAGGCGTCATCAAACATTGTAGGTTTGCGGCTCATAGTTCTTTGTCTAATATGTATATCTATTCCACTTAAAAATTGTGCCTTTAATCTTTCGTCTAATTCTTTATCTTGAATTCTTCGGATTAGAGCAACTTTCGCGTCATTTGCACCTGGTTCTAGTGTGACTTTGATCTCCGTTGCCAAAGCTTGTAACCGAGCAGCATATGTCTGCACATCTTCGCCTCTTCTTTGCACACATGTATAAAATCTACTTAGTTTAAATGAAAATGGTTCATGCTCGAAGCGCTGTATCATAATACTCTTGAATTCGTCAAAATCATCTCTCTCTTTGATTCTCCGATCCTTTCTCACAAATTCCCTAGCTATTCCAATCAATTTAAGCTTTGCTACGGCTAACATTTGAGCCTTCAACCAGGCTGTTACTTTTGTAACATCTGCCAACGAATCAAAAAAATCAGTTACTCTTGGACCTCCTGCTTCTCCCGAAAATACGGGTAATAAAGGTATTATTCTGCCTAAACCTCCTAACGTAAGAGGGCTCGGTGCCGGATTTGGATTAGGATTAGGGTTGCCTGGCCCAGCTGCAGGTTGAGGTTGAGGATCATCCACCATTTTTTCTACTAATATTATATCTACTATACTACTGTAACTATTCACCGAATTCTAAGGTCCCTGAATCGACTCGAAACCACCATTTACTCGGATATAGCCTTTATCGCCTTATCAAGAGTTCGAGGAAGTCGAGACCCCACTTCTGAAAAACCAATATGTGAACCGCCGGGGAGGTCGGGAACCATCGACTCTCCCTTTTCAGCTACAGGTCGTTAAACCTGCTCACTTGTCAAGATGGCTAAATTTCAAATGCGGTCCCGAAGGGTCGGGATGCTTTTTGTCAGGTTGAGTGGAGGAGGTGAGAGGTGTCATTTACTCGCATATTGCCTACGCCTCGTCGACGACCCCTCTCACCTTCTCCACTCAACCTGACAAAAAACATCCCGACCCTTCGGGACCGCATTCAAAATTTAGCCATCTTGACAAGTGAGCAGGTTTAACAACCTGTAGCCGAAAAGGGAGAGTTGATGGTTCCTGACCTCCCCAGTGGTTCACACTTGCATACCTGCAATCAGGAGCCATGACATGCTTTCCTATTTTTTCCTTCTGTGATTTGTGTGGCTAATTCCACAAAGTTTGGTCTCTCAAATTCCTCTTCTTTCTTGGCTACAAACACCCACCAATATCGGACATTGTCAAATAATGTTGACTTAATTGCAATCCAGAATATCTTTCAATGCAGTTGATCGTCTTGTAAGTCAACTTTTTCACAAAAACCACAGATGTCTGACAATTACTTTTTTTGGGAATAAATTTTGACATTACTTGCTGACATTTGATGTTTTGGAAAACGTCAAAATCTTTCATGTAGAATATCTCTGTTGGCATTTGCTGTTGTTGCATAATATTTCATGGGCAAGTCACCCACATTAGGATTGCCAGATGCAATGAAAAATCATTTTTGCTCAATTTTGTCATATGTTGTTTTTGCAAAGGCCTCAATTGTCCAATTACTGTAAAACTTGGCATACAGTTGTGTCTCAGACAGGTATGTAAATAATTACACTTGTGATCCAATTCTGGTGTACAACCAGAGTGCCTTAAGTTTTACCCAATACCTATAAAAATACCTTGAGATTTTCAGTGTATCTGTTATTTGGATGTCTTCAAACATCAGTTATCAGTCAGACATTATATATTGCCAACAAAGTTTGAGAAAAGCTGTATCATGGCTGACGGAAGCAGAATGGTCTGATAGTAGGCATTATCTACCATCTGGACTGTTCTGACCCTACTGTGAGGAGTGTTGGGCAAGTGGATATATGAAGTTGTAAGCACACAAGCATGCATGCACACGCATCTGGCATCTGGACATCCTAGACTATCAAGAGAACAGTAGTGAAAATATTTTCAGGACTGAAAATTTCCCTGCAAATTACAGTGGTACCTCAGGATACGAAATTAATCTGTTTCGAAACTGATATCGTATCATGAAAATGTCGTAAGGTGGATCATCTTTTCCCATACGATTACATGTAAAACCAAATAATTTGTTCCAACGCGAAAAACACACTCAAATTAAAGCCAAGTAATACATTAAAAAAAATAACTGTAGTAAGAAAAACAAATGAAAAATGCGAACTAATGTAACGTCGTATGGTGAGTTTTTGTTCGTATCGTGGAGCAAAAATATGTTCGAATTTCATGTCGTATCCTGAAAATTTCGTATGCTGGGGCGTTCGTAACCTGAGGTACCACTGTATTGCACACAAAATAAAACAATTTAAGTATGATTTAATAATTATTACTAAATACTTTAGAAAATGGAAATTAAATCACACAGATAAGTAAATAGGCTTACTCTATAATTTTCTGTGCTAAACTAAACATAAATTAATGTAAAATTTTTTAGATTAAAAGAATGCTTTAATTTAAGCAGGTCTCATTGTCATAGAATAACATAAACAATTATAAACTTGATATTACTCAATGCGTGATGCATTGAGTAATTTTCATTACTATAAATTGAAATAGTTACTGATGTCATGAATCCATCATTTTGCCACACTCCCTTGGCTTGTGTGATCCCCAGATTTGTCACCCATCAAGCATTTATGGTACAGTATCAGATGGGATACTAACTTCAGTCATCTTCAGGAGTGTGAAGGGTCAGGAATGGGTAAATCTGTCATAGGATAGCATATAGTGCTTGTATGCCTCCATGCCTGATAATATCACCTCCTGTATTCAGGAAGAGGTCCTACATGGTATTAAAGTTTCCTTTAAATTGAACCATTGTTGCACAGGAAATTATTATTATTTTGTTGTCACTTATTACCATCATTATTACATTTACACAAATAAAGTTTTGATTCTAACATTTTTCTTGGTGCATAACAACTTTTCTGTCAATGAGTGTATATAAAACTTTATATTATAAAACCTATTATAAATAAATTTTAAATCATAATTGATTTTGTAATACAAAGTTAACAATATTTAACTAATATGTTTAGAAAAATAAATCCTTAGTTTTATAATACAGTAGTCCCTCATTATATTGCTCATTTAGATATATTTTTTTTTTTTTTTTTGTCCTCCAAGTATAAAAATGCATTAGAGGTTGAGAAACACTGCTATAATACTTTAGGGTTAAAAGAAATAATAAATTATAAATTACATTTTTTTCTAAAATGAAATTGAAAATTCTTTTTTCAGATAGTTTTAATTAATTATGTATTAAACATTAAACATTGCAGATAGAAACAAAAGAAGAGAAAATGATCTTGATCCAATGGATCCAGCAGCTTATTCAGACACACCAAGGTAAATCTTTACATTACTAGTTTAACTATAAGTAGATGTAATTTTTAAATTAATAAATATTACTTTTGACAATATGCAGAGGTACATGGTCGACAGGACTCGAAAGAAAGGGAGAAGCAAAGACGGGAGCTGATACCACTGCCTCCGGACCTCTGTATCAGATGCGTCCCTATCCCAGTCCCGGAGCAGTTTTGCGCATGAATGCATCCTTAAAAGATGTTCCACTTCCTGAATAATCTCGATCAATATATGTTAAATTGTACAGAAATAAAAATCCCAAACAATAATTTTGTATATTTACAGTATACAAATTAAGAACTATATTTTCAGTGTTTCTATGCAGTTAATATTCAGTAAATACAAATCCTTTACAGTCGTTTCTTTTATATGCATAATAAATATTTTAACTTATTTCAATACAATAGAATTATTTTCTGTACAATAGTTTTCTGTGTACATTATTCATAAATAAATTTATCATTACAAATTATGTAGTAGTAAAATGTAATTATTTTTCAAATAATTACATTTACATTATATTTAAAATTATTGGATATAAATTTTGTTCTCAAATTCTTTCAAAATGAACATTTACAATAAACTTTAGACAAGTCATAGAAAATTTAAAAGATTATCTAAATCAAATTTCAGGAACATAATAATTAGGATTATAATCTATTATGAATTGTTTTAATACTTGTTTTATACTTTTTAATTTTTGAACAAAGATATAAATGAATTTGATATCGTTAGTTATAGTTAAGTCGTTCTACTACATTAACACTTAACTAAGCACCAATAGATTCAATCTTTTTTAAGCCTTTCCCATATACAGATTGTTTATAAGAAATATACTAGAGGTATGTGTAGCATATATATATAGAGGTATTTACCATATGGGCTGCTGTCAGGGAGAATATGTAATTTACAGTATAAATCATAAAATGTAATCAATGTATAGTGTACAGTTAATTATTATTATTTATTTGATTGAATATCCAACTCAGTAAACATTCAATTCATAAATATAAATAATACTGTAGTTTTCTATTAGTTGGCATTGTGAATAAAATTTTTCTGCATCTTCCAATAACTAAATTGATCATAATTAACCATATGGTTTATACCTTGAGATTACATATTACAACACAAAAATAACACCCTAAATTATTATATGTGTGCATTCCAACAGCACCTGTTTCTGGTGAGTTACTTTTGAACAATCTTGTGTATGTATACAGTATATTTAGGGTTTAACAATGATGGTCTGAAACCCATTCTGGCATTTCTTATTGGGCTGCAATTTGAAAAATTGTAGACCTATAAATTCCCACTGTCCTTAATCTCAAGAACAGAGTTAGATGAAAGTCGAAACCTGATATTTTGAATAGCTTAGGGGCAGGAGGTCCTGACTAACTACAGTCAACCCTCTTATAACACGGGTTCCTATAGTTCAGATTCCTATATCACAGTGAAAAAATTGCGACAGTATTCGTACACACATGCTAAAAAAACTCCTATAATTTGGTAAAACATCATCGCCGACTCGTGTCACGACAGGATTGGTCAAATTTAGACCAATAGTGGATATTGCACACAGTGGCGGCCTTAGGGGGTGGCGAGCAGGGCAATCGCCCGGGGCCTCGCTCTTGGAGGGGCCTCGCGCAACAACCAAGTAGAAAAAAGTTGATATTTAAAACTTTTTATTTTATCCTTGGCTATTAGTTATAACAATAAAATAAATGTAATTTATAGTACAGTATATATTAATATTAATAAGTGCCTACTATTTCAATTCACATACTTTGCACAAAGGACAAGGGCCTCGCAAAGATCTGCCGCCCAGAGCCTCGCAATGGATAAGGCCGCCGCTGATTGCACAAACCGTTGAGTTTAAACAAGCTGCGGACCTACTAAAAACCATTTATTATTTAACGTCCATAAAAATTATATTTATATTAATGATGTCTCCAAAGTTCAGCGAATTTTTCGCAAAAAAAAAAAAAATTTATCAGGAAGCACGCAAGCGCCATTTGATGACAAGCTCCATGACAAAAACAAGCTTAAGCAATGGCGTAGTCAAACAGTGCACGCTTGATAAGTAATCCTACAATTATTTGTTTATAGCATAGTTTATATGGATTATTCCCAAAAAATTATACGTATTTTGGAAGTGTTCAGTCGAATTAGTCTAGAATCGATCAATTTTATGAAAGAAACCTTTCAAACAGTCATAGTACGTAAACTGCATACGTGCCGGGCTATGACTTGTAGAAAATGGATTCATAAAAACTGGAACATATCTACCGTGTTATAGGGGGGGTCGACTGTATATATAAACTTCCAGTGCAAACTGGAAGTCACATTATTTCAATTCAAAAACTTTCCCCTGAAAGGAGTTAATGACTGACACAACTTTATTGATAGCAGGAAAAGTATGATATACAGGGGCAAGACACTACTAATTTGAGGTGGAGAGCACATTTTAAATCAAATTAAAAATGATTAAAAATTTCAGCCGCATTGTAATGTCTCAAATAATTGCTTGTTCATTACTCTGCATTTTTTGTCATTTATAACAGTTTTTTTATAATTAATTTTATTATTATTTACAGTTCTCCATTTCTTTTACTTTTTCTAGAAGTGTTAATTAAAGGTTAGGCTCTAATTCTTTATACATGAAATTTTTTTTTTTTTTTCAATATTTTCAATTTTTATGATAATGTATTTGACATCTCCTTTTGACTGTTTCATTTTTTTTTTCCTGTAGTCTTTCAATGAGGCTAATGTAACTTTAACATCCAAGAAAAAAATCGGCTACATTTTCTTGACAATGATGTCATGTAGATGACAAATAATTTTTAACATGATCTCACTCACCAGACATTATCACCAAGATTGTGAAAATCATTCAAAAGTCATGGATCAGGACTATTTATTATTTAACAATAAAATACCAATTCCTTACAAGAAAATCAACCAAAAAATGTGAAAGCCAATGTCTAACCAATGTGCTTGTTTTGGCAGATTTCAAGGAATACATATATAACAAGTTCTAATCATTCTGTATATATGCATTTTGCTTTTAAATAAATTACCATATCTTAGTGATTTAACTTGTCAACAAAGACTTATCAAGACTTGTTACATCAAGGAAAAAAAGAGTAAACGACACCAGATCTAACACTCAAATCATAGAAGTTATTATAACACTTTTCTGCATGCTAACAATCAGCATGCAGAAGTAGTCTTGGACTGTAGTCTTTCACAGCAGAAGGTTATAATCTGAGTTTTCCTCAACCTCTTTCAAGTTGCAGTTGTAGGTCCCTGGGTGACTGAAAAGTAGTGATTAGCTGTTGTATAACTTGTGTTGGAAAGCCAAAAGGTCAACAACAAAGGCCAATCCTTATAGCCTTCTACTACAACTAGAACAAGAGAGCATGACAACATTGCATTTCCTGGACGTTTTGATCACATGCAAAGAGGATGAAATCCATACCAATATACAATAAACATAAATTACCATCCAGTTTTCATCCCTTACTCCATTGACCCATACTATTTAAGACTTTCTGCATTCAGGTCATTACAGATGACCTGTAATTCAGAGTGTTTAGCCACTGCACAAGTATTCATAACACCATCAATGACCTCAATTACATAAGAATGGTGAAACATCATGGCTTTTCAATAGGAGGAAAGTTATATTAAACAATCTGAAAATTATATATGAGAAGTGGTCCAATGCATCATCAACATTGTATATAAGCATTACCTCACCGTTTTCAAACTCATGTAACAAGAAGGCTTGCTATGATCACAACTCCAGAGTTTAGTCCATTTTAATTGATGGCCTATACTTTAACAGGAGGCTTACATATGTAGAGGCTACCAAACAACCTGCTGTATAGAATTAACATAAATATACCATAGTCAGAAATCTAGCCAATACAATATTGGTAACTTATGCTACTCAGCAAGACATACCTACTGGGTTACTTGGGGACCTTGAAGACTTATAAAGCAAGCAGAAATTCCAACAGTATTACCGGTAATTATGAAGATGCAGACTCACTATCTACTGCATGTAGGTCTATCTCTAAAATCTAAAGTGCCCTAGCTCTTTCATTTACAATATTATTTTTATTTAAATACATCTTTATTGTTCTTTTTAATTACTTATTTTTGCTGTTTGTTAATAATTATTATATAACTTTTATTTAATAATATATTAATTATTAAATANTAAATGTTATATATTAATAATTAATATATAATTATTATTATTATAAGCAGGTAAGCCTGGCATTGCCCGGGCAAAAAATAAGAACGAACAATTAGCTAATTTCATACTTCTAACCCTTCTATCGTATTATATTATAGAATTTTGTTTATGTAACTACAAAGGTTATCTTACATAGCCGTTTTCACTGGGTGCAAGAATTGGGTCCTCGCTCTTCCAAGGCTAATTAGAGAATTTTTAGATGGATCTAAAAATATGTTCAATTTCCCATAAAAACACAAAAAATCGCATATAAAATAGCACAGTAGAAGCACAGTATAAAATAGCACAGTAATCCTTAATCTTGAACACCTGATCTTTCGTGTATCCCCAAAGAAAGAAGTCTAGTGGACTCAAATCAGGCTGTAAGGTGGCCAGTTGAGGCCACTTACAAATTAAATGTTTTGAAGCAATGTGTTTTTGTGATAGAAGCAATTCCTTTTTGCTCAAAGTGCTACCGACAAAAAACTGAGGCTGAAAACTGCACGGTTCAAAAGTTATTCAAAAAAAAAAACTTTGTGGAGAGGCTGTGAAACACCCTGTAATTAAAAATGTAGATGTTTGTTTGTTAAAAATCTTAAATCTCCGAAAGTTCTTAACAGATTGCTTTGAAATTTTGACACAACATTGCATTCGAATATGTGCATGTTTTTATATTATATAGATGTCAAAATTCTCCCCGTGGGGGAGAGGGACAAAGGCTTAGCATGAAGAACTGGTCTTCTATTATTAGTTGTAATCTTTTGCGTTTTTTATTGTGTTTTAACAGGGTACGTCAAGAGAATGTACACTAAGAAGGAATTTTTAGAAATTCCTTCCCGCAGGGAGTGTTATACATTTATAATAGATACATTTTGAGCCACAGCAACATGTGGCCAGGTACAGCTAGTATGAAATAATTAAATAATCAATTATAAATTTTAGAGGAACTATTTATTGTTATTCTATTTAAAGAAATAAATCTATTTTCGTAATAAAAATTCATTCATAAAAATATTAAATAAAAATCTGGTAACAGTAATAATTTTATTTAATTGTAACTGTTATAAAACTGCATACAATTATAATTACTTAAGAATTATTGTGGAAAAACATATAATGTATGCATGTGTAAATTAAGCAATTCTTCTACAGATAAGTTATTTATTTCATGCTGCTTGTCTCTGTTCCTGTAGATTCCAATTTTCATTCCATGTAACCCAAATAAGGTTTTTACCTGAAAATATTTTCAACATTTTAAAATATGTTTATTTGTTTAACAAAATTAATATCTAAACAAATTATTGAGTTGTTCGGAAAGTAATTTCATTTTTTTCCGTGGTAAAAAACAATATTTTTATAATAAATAAATATTTTATTGAATTTTATATGGACCATTTTGGTCAAATACCTGTTGTCGTTGTTTCTGGTAGTAGCATGATTTCACATTCATAAAAGTTTTGATCATTGTTACAAAAAACTGATCTAAGTGATTTTTGACATTGTCATTTCAAGTAAATGTCTTACAGCTAAAAAAAATTTATATAGATTGGAACAAGTAATAATCTGAGTGTGCTCGATCTGGCGAATATGCTTGGTGTGATAGCATGTCCCATCTAAGTTATAACAGTTTCTGACGAGTTACCAAACTTGTGTGAAATTTGACATTATCGTGGTAAAACACTACACCTGTTTTGTTGATCAATTCTGGCCGCCTTTTCTGTTTGATGATATAACTCAATTTTGTTTACTCGATGGCGGTACACTTTCGAATCAATTGTTAAATTGTCTGGTAAAAACTCCAAAAAAAAATTTCCTTAAAATCCCACCAAAGAGAGCATTTCTCTTTAAGAACATGTGGAATCCATATATCAAGCTTTGAAACGAAACCAATTTGTTTCAAGTAATCATAAACAGTTCAATTTGACAAAATCTCTTAGTGATTTCACATGTTGTTATTTGGCAGTTTTCTTGAATCAATACCTTTATTTTGTTGGCTTCAACTGGCCATTCTCAACGTGGTGCATATTCAATATTGAAATTGCCAGAACGAAATTTTGTAAACCAGTTTTGGCACTGTTGTTCTGTCAATACATCTTCTCCATATATGTCACACAATTTTTTCTCACTTGAACAGCATTCTTACCTTTTCGGTAATAAAAGAGCAAAATATGCCGATAATGCTACTTTCGATCTTCCATATTTGATGGTACACAAAAAATAAACAAAATGTTTAACAAATAAGCCTTAAAATGCTAGCTGTCAAAATATATAATGATAATACAGTTTAGAATGAAAACAGTGGGAAAAATACGACTAATCCGTCTAGTGGTTAAAAAAAAAACGAAATTACTTTCCGACAACCCAATATATTATGCATTTAAGATAAAACACTTAATATTTTTTAATTATAATATGTTTAATTTCTTTGAATCACTAAACACTTGTATGCTGTTATAATGTTTCAATTTTTAACTATAATAATAATTTGTACTTGTTTTTGTAGTTCCTTTCCATTTAACATAAAATTTCCAATCGGATTTTCTAGCAGAATGGTTCCTCGATGATTTGTAGCACCCAACTGTGGCTTTAATTCACATAATTCTACATTAACAAACCTAGAATAGAACAATAAAAATATGTCCATTGAAACCATCTACTTCTGAAAATAAAAATGTAGTAGTTCTGTACTTCTATAAATAGAAAACCAAACAACACTTTAACTGAGTTTAAAGTGGACTATTGGTCAGTATTAAAGTATCAGAAAATGCGTGCTGGCCCAAAAGCCCCAATACTAATCTTAATTTTTCTTCAGATTTAGTTAATAATATTAAGTAAAGAATAATAATATTTATTACTATGTTTTGAAAATAATTACATCATTTTCAAAATGTTAAAGAACTTGATTTTATATACATAAACATCTCAAAGTCTGATGCTTATATTAGAACCAAACGATTACCAGATTAAATCAGGCTACATTACTGCTACTAATTATTATTAAATCCCTAGTAATCTGACACTAGAGGTAGGCATTAAGCACCATCTCTTATTAAATTTAATAATTATAATTAAATAAATATTTATTAAATTATTTTAAAAATTCCAGGAGAAAAGAATCGGCCTGGAGTGGGACTTGAACTTGTAACTGCTTATCATGTGGATGCATTGCCAGTTACACTTCCCAGACATTCATCTGATCCCCACTTCCAGTCGTATTTAATTTATATAACCATACTGATTACTCATGGTACAAACTGGAAAATTATTTAATAAATATTTATTTAATTATAATTATTAAATTTAATAAGAAATGGTGCCTAACATCAACCTCTAGTGCCAAATTGGTAATTATGTACATTACAGGAATAATTCTGTATTTCTATCAATATAGAATTATCTTTGTGTAAAACTTACTGTTAAAAGCTACAGGTTTTTTAAAAAATATTTAAACCCTTAATGTCAGAGGTATACTGGTGATCAAAATTGGTCCACAGATAAATTTTTTTAAAATGAATAAAACTATATTTTATTGTAGTTTTTCAATTGTTTTCATCTAAACTGTAAAAACAAAAAATGCATTTAAACTCCATTTTATAATTATTTTTATTTAATTTCACAAAAGTATTGGTCTGCATGATATTAGAATGAAAAAAAAAACAAAAGATATGTGAACACACAAGGTATGAGAGTGCTGCTCCAACACAAGTTGTGTCCATTGTTATAAATAAAATATTTTAGTTCCAAACAGAAAAGTCTTTATGTAGTATTGGCTGCACATCTTATGTACAGTATATATTATTGTTATATAACTTTACATTTTAAAATTAAAGGGATTAGTTATATAAAACACACATTTGTAAATTCAGATAACAAATTTATAGTTATAAGCATTTACTCTGAATTTTAAAGTAATTCAATTTTAATTGTTTATTATTTTATTTGTTCTATTTTTACAGAGTTAATATCAAAAAATAAATCATTGTCATTGTCGAATCTTAACTCAAATTTTGGTATAGAATGTTATGGTGTTATGGAATCGGAATTAAGCAAAGTTTATCAAACTGTGGTCTGCAGGCTGTTAAGAGTCACAAAAGAGGTAATCATGTGTTAGTAGTAAAACGTTGTTGCTCTATTATGTGGTGCCTGCAAAGTGTAGTGCAAAAAATATGGATTCTTCTGCGAGAAAGATAAGTTGTCTGGAAACACGAAGTGTAGTCACATGACTGAGTGACATCAAAATTGGATTATGTGACACAGTTTGTGTGCATCCACCGTCCAACATGCAGCTCCATGACGACGATAGCTTAAGCAATGGCTTCTCAAATGGGGCACAGTCCATAAGCAATCCTATGGTTTTTGTTTATAGCAATTTATATGTGGGTTGTCTGAAAAATTTTGTATGTTTTCTAAATGTCTATTAAAATTGCCTCCTTTTTAAAATAAAAAAAAATACATATTCCCATAATCTATATAATTACCTTTTTCTTTTAAATTAGCAAGATCAAAAACATTTAAATAAAAATAGATAATACAGACCTACATACAGCTGGACCTTTTTCAATGTCATTTGGAGTATCTCCTATCACATTATTATACTCAGATCGTGGCACTTTTGCAGGAACACTAGAATCTACTTCTTCTCTTTTGATTATGACCATTTCCAAACTTGCCCCTTTTATCTAAAAAGCAGATGCAAATAAATTATTTGATTTTTATTAAATAATTTATTTAATATATTCGAATATTTTGAACCACCAGCCTGATGGTGCACCAATTGTTTCTAGAGACACATCCAGGACAAGCGTCTACCCCAGAGCAAGTATTAGTTCTAAATTATGCTGCTATGGCAAACAGCATCAATGATGGGAACTGGATTTGTGTCAGTTTCATGTCATAGTTACAAATTATGAATGCTTTATTCATAATTTTTATTAGTTATAAATGAAAATAAGATTAATTTTTAGATTACTTATAAATAATTTTTTCATATGCAACATCAGCCTTTTTGCCTGATTTGAAGAGTAAAATAGCAAGTTTAACATTTGTTTATCATGCTGCCAACATTGATGAACTTGTTGTGTGTTAAATAAATGGAATGTAGTGAACGTCATTTAAAATATAGTCATAGACAAAGTTTAAACAGTACGATTTGTGATATACCAGTACGATATTTGTGTCTTCTGTTCATTAATATAATTTATAAATGGTTTGTTCAAAATTATTAGTTAAAAGTGAAAATAAATTAAATTTATGGTTAGACATCTTGCTTAAAAATGAATTTTTCTATAAAAAGAATTAATACTGTAAGATTATGAGATGAAATTATGAATAAAAGAAAACATAGGGAGACAAAATTTGATATTCTCCCACTGAGAGAAGTGCAAATTGAACATTCTGTAATAAGCATAAGTATATAGCCTAAAAAACATTATTGTTTGCACTAATTATAAATTCATTACTCTATATATGCAACCATAATATTGTCTAGATAACATTATTTTGGAAAGAAGATTTAGGATAGTTATAGAGAAAAGCCAGGGTTCAAGACTAAAACCTCCTCTCACTCACAGCCAATTATAGGTAAAAGGGATGTAATGTTTGCTAGGGGAACTACTCAGCAATTATTTTTTCTTAATCAGTGCAACTTTAAAATTCAATACATAGTAGAATTCCGTCCATACTAGAAATCTGAATGCAATCTCTAAAATCAGTAGGTCAGATCACTTTAGCTATTTTAGAACCACTTTAAGCCTTGAGAAAAGTCTAACATAAAAGCTAAAAACTTATATGCACAAATTTTGGTCATTTTATGAAGTATATGCAATTTCTAAACAATTATTATTTTCTAAACAAATTACAACATGTTCTAATGTTCAAAATGTAATTTTTATAATAAATAAAATGTCAAGTGGTATGGACATCATCCCTATTGTTTCTATCCAGATCTGTCCTTGATAGAACAATATACTATTATTAGGAATGTCAATGTTGAAAAACTGGTACAATACTATATTACAATGCTATACAGGTTCAATGTCATTTAGCTTCTATATTCATGATTTAATTTGCATTAATTTCCATTGAAGTAATATTTGAGATGAAAAATGTTAGCAGAAAACAAATTACTACAAAATATCTAGTTAAATAAATAAGAAAATACCAAATCAAATAATAAGTACAAATAATTAAATTTTAATATTATCAAATTACCACCAAAGTAATTTAAATTACAGAAGTTAACAATTCCAATGGAGCCAGCAGTACCATTACTACAGTCAGTACACCTCCATCCTTCAGAACAATGCTATATGTCACCAATCCAATATTTGATGACTGACTTCAAGTAGCACTAATTATTGAGAACTCACGGAGGGAGCCTAGGGGTGTCAGTGTGACTCAAGACCAGATGCAAACCCCACTAATGTCAATCGTAACCAGTCTTACAAAAATAGGAGCAAATCACCATAGCCCCATCTGCATGTCAACATTGCCCAAACAAACCATTAACATTATCTGGCTCCAGAAATAATTTTCCAAATCCAATAACACAGCAACAAACTGAATGCAAGCCTTTAAACTTACTGGGCAGCCCACATGACAACTAGATTTTGTCTATCTTGATTTCCTCCAAACTCATGGCTTCCTTGACACCAGAAGTGATATATTAATCGTGAAGCAGCAATTTGGATTTTGCATTGATGTTCTAATCACTGTCACTAGAAATGTATGGCACCCAATGCTCCCAATCTGTCAACCAAATTATTTTTCCACATGACTTCAGGCACATACTGCAACCGATCCAAATTTGCATCTTGTTGATTTTGAATCTCTCTTATGGAATTAAGTTTGGAATCATCAAGACATTTGGATTTGGCAACATCATCTTCACTATGCTTCCAAGCTGTTGGCCGAATGATTTTTTCACATGGCTTTGGGCACAGACTGAAACCGATCGAAGTTTGCATCTTGTTGAATGTTCACAGGATGCAAACTTCGATCGGTTTCAGTCTGTGCCCAAAGCCATGTGAAAAAATCATTCGGCCAACAGCTTGGAAGCATAGTGAAGATGATGTTGCCAAATCCAAATGTCTTGATAATTCCTTATAGCAAGAGCTACAAAATGCAGCACAGCTGAAGCAGCAATTGGTACACTCTCAAGAGCCATCACAGCCAAAATGACTCATTTTAGATAATGGCATCAATTTTTATTCCAAAAAATTCCAGACATTTGCAAAGGAAAATGGCATTAACACCACCTATATTTCCTACTACCACCAGCAAATGGTCTTTGTGAAAGAGCAAATGGAAGAAAGAACTTCACCTTACAACTAATAGCTAACCCAAAAATGAATTGGTCTTCTGTGCTAGATTCAGCCATTGACACCTATAACAGGCTGCCACACACTGGCTTTGCTCTGAAATCTCTTCACTTTGGCAAAAATCTACCAAGAGGAATAACACTGACTGACGTGTGACTACAAACAGTACGGCACTTTAGAGACAACCAAGAATACAGGAAACTGAGATTTGATTCCAAACATGACTCATCCTCATTTCACACCAACGATACAGTCATGGTCCAAGTTCCAGATAATCATCCCAACAATTACAAGTTTAGCCTGAATTGGGACAGGTTGTTTACCATCTTGCATAAGGTAGGACATCCAACTGAAATGGATTCTAGACAAAATATTTGATATAAATCTCCCCATACTTCCAAACTACTTGACTATACATTCATCACTCCTTAGGCCATACTATGACAGATACAAGGCTGCAGGTGGTACCTGGAGCAGCATCCCTAGTGAGCTGGCCACGATTCAGTTTGAAAAGGGGAAATGAACTGCCAGCCTGGAGGCACCCCAATCGTTTCAAGACACATATCTGGGTCCCTAGACCTCTAATGGACATTTTTTCAGGTTTAACCGCTTTTGCTAATTACAATTGTCTTAAGCTCTTGGTAAGTCAGCATGTTCAACTTTAGATTTTTGACCTTTATCGAATTGAGGCTGATTCAATTTAAAATTTGTAAAAATGCAAAAATATTTTAATATTTATTTAACATCTACAATTAATGTTTTTATCTAAATCTATTGAAAAGGTTAAGAGATTTTACTTTCAACTTTTTATAATTATCAAAGTCAGGTATTTAATTACTAAAATTATATTAAAAATATATAAAATTTAATAAAAGGTTATCTCTTGTACTTTCCCAATTCTTCATCCAAGGTGAAATGCCAGTTTATTGTTTTTAGCATTTACCTCAAATGAAGAGTTGGGAAAGTACAAGAGATAACTAAGAATTTTATCAAATTTTATACATTTTTTGTATAATTTTAGTTTTTATTGAATTGTTCTGATATTGCAGTTGATTGATTTATATTTAATATATTAAAACACTGTTCAGAAATACATAAAGATGTAATATGAATCATTATTATGACTGAATCACAATACAATAAAATCTATGGAAATAAATAATAGAATGATATAGTTGTTGTTGTTCTCATTTCACAACAGAAAAGAGATTAAAATACACATCAAACGAAGCTTTGGTCATATTACAACAGAAAATAGCAGAGAGAGAATTAATAGATAGTGCATGGAATAATGTGTCTGGAGAAATGGTTTCATTTAATGACTTTTTCTCACAATGTACCTTGTTTCTAATTTGACAGAAAATTACTATCACACTGATGCAACACAAAACAGATAGTAAAGATATATATTCCATCATAACATTAATTGATTAAAAGATAAATCAAATTTATTATTGTGGTATTCATCTCTTGCCAGAAAAATAGAAAAAGTTTTTAAAAAAAACAAAGGAAAATATTTTGACTAATATAAGTTCTTTTATTTCTTTGTAATAAATACATACTTTAGGTTTAAAAAAAGCCTCAAAATTAATTCATATACCTAACTAACTTGTTTATTATAGGGTTGACAAGAATTAATCATAACATGAATATAAAGCATCAGATGCAAGAATTCTGATTTTGAACTGATTCTGAAAATTATCAATTTTTTAAAAATATATTAATTCCTTAATTATCTGTATGAGCTATTTCATAAAGTATATAAACTGGAATGAAATTGAAATTACCTGAAGTAAACTAAACTGTAGAACAGTTCAATACTCATAAGTTTTAATTAGAATTATTATTTATCATGAAGTTGTCAGCCCTTTAAATGAACTTAAAATGTTATACCTACTTTCAATATGACAAAATTGAACACAGTTTGAAATGTCTTAGATTATTAAAATGTCAATTTATTTTCATTTATATAAATTAATAAAATCTCCAAACATCTGACATGGGAAAAAATAAACTTTGTGAAACTGATGTTAACTTTTTCTAAAACTTATTTTAATAGATTATATGAGAAATCAAGCATAAAATTTAAATGTAAAATCTAAAGTATTTTCAGAATACTGTTCAGTTAGATTAGCACTTTTTGATTTGATAATTTGTTTTATTATGGTATATTTCTGTTCTTTGTACTGTATTTTTTTTTAGGGAGATCTGAAAAATGTTTTTATAACTAATAATCTCCTTTTGAACAATAATAATTATTATTATAATTACTTTTTTTTTTACCAGTATCATCATATAATGTTTCCCAAAATTTCCCTCATAAGCCTCAAAACTTTTCAGATAACTTAGTTTGTCATTGTTTCATTTGTTATTTATTGAACAGAGGATCAAATTTGATCGAGGAATATCAAATATAAAAAAGTATAATTTAAAAATACATAAATGTTTAGCAGAAGAACTTTCAACAGGAAACTATACAGACAAATATTCATTAAAGTTATAATAAATAAATAATGCAATGTAAAAATGAAATCTGGCACTATCAGATATTATGTATTGAATAATATTCCATTGTATTTTTCTGACAAATATAGCAAGACCAAGAAATTTATTTTAATCATTTCTAAGTTAAACAAATAATCATTAAATTCTATACTTTATATAAATTATATAAATTAATCTCAAAATAAGCATGTACTTTGAAGAGTTATAATTTAATATTTCATATCTACTATAAATTTGAATATTGTGAGTATTAAAAATAAGAATCTAAAAATACAATATTAAAATTATAAATCTAATATAAATTCTGAAAAAATTTTAATAAATAATTACCATAGTGGTTTCTTCTATTATCACAGATGCTGTAGTAGGCACAGGAAAAAAATTCAAAGGAGCTTTCAATGTATTTTCAATAAATGTTTTAAAGGAAGTAACAACTGTTTGAAGTGAATGTTCTGATGGTTCAATTTTAATAAATATTTCAATTGAATCAGATGGAACAAGATGTCCCTGGAAAAAAATTAGTTTCAATTGATAAAACAATTCCTATAAATAATTAATATGTAATTAAAATTATATTGCATATTAAATATGATTTGAATTATTTTATTGAAGTTTTTTATTGACAAAAATAATTATTTATTAAAAATATTAAAGATCTTAAAATCTTAATTTCATTTAAAATTTGTAGTAGAGATATTTTTAAGTTAAATATCTCTATTATTTTTTAAACTTAAAAATACAGTTATGTGATGCTTAGTGATGTTCTGATTAATAATGGAAGTCTCATAAGATTGTAATGGAGCTGAAAAATTCACAGAAGCTCTAATGGCATGTAGTAGTAGCACACAATATAAACAAACATACTCACTGGCCAATGAATTAGAAACAGAGGTTTAATATTTTATTGGACCATCTTTAGCTCGAATTACAATATTTACTTGATTTGGCATGGATTCTGCAAGGTGCTGAAGTGCTTCTAAGTCCAATGCACACCAGGCATTTCCTTTAGTTTGCATAAATTTGACAGAAGACTTTGCTGGTGGATATGTCATTCTAACATATCTCATACATTCTCAATGGGATTAAGATGTGGGTTCTGTGATGGCCAGGGTGGGTGGCAAAAGTTGTCTTCATGCTTGCTGAACCATTGCTGAACAATTCTTGTCTGATGGACAGTAGCGTTATCATTAATCACATGCAGAAAAAAATTCAACATTGCAGGATAAACTTGATTGGTAACAATGTTCAGGTACTCATTGGAAGTGACCCAACCTTCCAGGAATATCAGCAGACTAGTTCCATCCCAACAGAACATGCACTCTACCATAATACCCTCTCCAGAACCTTGAGTCATGTTAATGAAGCAAGCAGGGTCTATTGCTTCATGGAACTCTCTCCAAACCATCTGTCTATCGTTGGTAGAGAATAAGATGTACTGTGATTTGTCTGACCACATTACTTTTCTCCAGTCCTCAGATGTCCAATCACGATACTCTTGGCACCACTGTAGATGAACTTTCTGATTCTTTGCAGAAGAAATCAATGATTTTCGTATAGGCCTGCAACTGTTCATACCAATTCTTTTCAATTCCCTGCACATAGTTTGGGTAGATATGGGTCAGGGACAGGATTCATTACCTTCTTCTGTCAATTGCTGCACAGAGGAAGTCCTTTTTTTCCAACCAAATGCCGAAATTCTATCGGGCTAGTTTTAAGGCTAATTACTAAATGAATTACGTAACCAATTTGACTCTAGAGGTAAGAGCAATAAATTTAATCACAATAAAGCGCGATTAAAACTAGCCTGATAGAATTTCGGCATTTGGTTGGTGTTTAGCTATATTATATATTGGGTTTAGCAATGTTTGTATATACAGTAGAGCATCGATTATCCGACTCAATTGGGGACTCAGGTTGGTCGAATAACTGAAAAAATCGGATAACCGAAATAAATGTAAAAAGTACATTATTAGTATAGTATATTAGTATATCCCATGTAATTAGTATATTAGTATATCGCTATTAACCAACTTCGCGTTGAATTTTCATCAATGTTAAGCCTAACAAATTTTTTTTTAATAATAATCGTTGCTATTGTATCGTTAAAAATTATTTTTGAATTATTTTATTGCTCACAAAACAAACAACCATTCATAATTAGAAAATTAAGTCTTGTTTAAATACTGGCTTCCCTTCAATGGTCGAGCTGTGCTGCTAGCTAAAACACGCAAAAATTTGACAAAAATAATATTAAAGTAGCTAAGACATGGCCAAATATTGTAGTGCTACATCACTAGTGGACATTTGAAATTTGCCGACTAAAACGGTCAGTTAACCAATGTGACGGTTAATCGGGGGTCAGATAATCGATGCTCTACTGTATTACGCCTTTTTTCCACACTAGACTTTTCAGATGATGTCAGTTGTATTCCTGATTAACTGTTTTGGAACCACAGTTACGTCTTTTAGACACTAACTGTGGGTTTTTTTTTTATTACCAATTGAACACTTTGGATAGCTCATCTTTGGAAAAACCAGCCAGCTTTACAGTTCTTGATATTGTGGCTCAAGTGAGATGGGCACTCACAATCAGCCCTTTTTGAAACTCTGACAAGTCCTTCACTTTTCTCATTTTCATAAACTTAATGACCATACTGACCAACAGCATTCTTAAATAGGAGCTTATGAACACATCATAACTAACATGACACAAGTGTTTTGCATATAAGCTGCAAAATTATACTTACTTAATATGCATGGGGTTTCTAATTCATTCACTAATGAGTGTACAATGCAGCCAATCATGTTTAAATACTACATAATGTGTGTCCAAAGAAGTTATGGAATATTTCTGAACAACGAATACTATAATTTATTGTGTCATATTGTGCACTATGAATATAATTTTACAATGAATTAAACCAGTTTTAAACATCAAAACATGTAATACTATATTTTACTGTCACTTATATATGTTTAGATACATAAATACTTATCACTGTGCTACAATTATTACATATAGCCTTTATGGGTAGTATACTACGAGGCGTGTCCGGAAAGTAAGTACCGTTTCATTCTACCGCCATTGCAGTGGTAGTATCGCAGTTCAGCACCTGCGCACACGTCTCTCTGGTTGATTGTCAATCCAGTGACACCATTACAGCCGGATTGTGTTGTTTTTCCACGTGTTAGTGAGCATTCAAAATGTTTAAGACTATTGCCGATCCCGCCGACTGTGAAGTGCATTCTGTAATAAGAATGTTAAGCCAGTTGAAATTCATCGTCAACTTGTAGAGATTTATGGTAAAAATGTAATGAGTGATGGAATGGTTAGAAAATGGGTTCGACAATTCAATGCTGAACGCCCTGATGTTCATGATGAAGCATGGAGTGGCTGGCCTTCTGTTGTCAATGATGGTTTGGTTGCAAAAGTGAATGAAAAAATTCCTGAAAACAGATGGTTCACAATAAGATTTCTTTGTGATGAGTTTCCACAAATTTCAAATACTGGTTTGCATGAGATTGTTTCAACAACCAACGTTTAGCAGTGGCTGTCTTCACTGGAGGCATCTTTCTTTGAAGAGGGTATAGACAAGTTGATTTCCCAATATGACAAATGTCTGAACAATGGTGGTAACTATGTAGAAAAATAGTTTCAGACATGCTCTTTCATGTAAAAATAAATTTTGTTCTGAAAAAATATTTTTATTCGAGTTTTTCCAAAACGGTACTTACTTTCTGGACATGCCTTGTACTTGTATGCCATGTAGGTTTGTCTAAGTAAACTCTATGAAGTTTGCCTAATGATATATTTGTTGAAAAATATCCCAGTCATTAGACAGGGCATACTTGTATTATAGGAATAATGTTAAAATTGTTTCAATCCCATTAATGATGTTACATTGTTAATATGTGACAGGAATGTTTTGTAGACTATATGCAGCTGAAAGTGAGATAGACTGGAAGATAAAAAAAGAAACAAAACTGTTAAAATCTATAGAGCTATTACCTAAAATTGATTGATTAATACTTTTTGCAATAAAACTGATCAACAGTTATTACATCTATTTTATAAACATTTAAATCATATTCACACAAATATAATTATTCAATAATTTTCACTTTAAGCACACTAATGATATCTTCATAAAAGAAATGCTGTCTGAAACAGTATTTATGATAACGTTCAACTTAATTTCTTACATCAGCATTAGCCCTTACATAAAATATTAGCATTTACAGGTATTTAATTAAAGTATATTTTTATTAAAAGTTTGGTTTAACTTGAATAAATTTTAAATTGTTTAAATAATATATATTTTTTTAATTATTTAAAATATGTATAAAAAGAATCTTTATTCTTCCCTCTAAATTACTGTATTTATTTAATTTTTTACAAATTTATCTATCATAAGTGAAAAATTGCTAAATATACATATTAATAAATGAGCTAGTAAAAGTACTAAAACATTATGCAACTTTGTCATATCATATATCATGATAGAATTGAAGTTGAGCCAAAAAGGAAAAAAATATTCTTTCACTTGCTTAGCCTGGACTGGTGATCCTTACATCTGACTGGTCACACAGGTGATCCTTGCACTTGCCGCCGTGGAGGAGACAATTCAAGAACAAAGCAATTGACACTGATTGCTTTGTTCTAGTGTTTTGTTTGTTTTTTTTCCCATTTTCTGTTAGACANTCAGATCGTTATCGCGTGTTTGTCCGCGCCTCTATAAATTGACAAACTGGTGTCGGGAACCTGACGAAGGAAGAAGGTGAATTCGCTATCACCAACTTCCGCTCTAAATTATAATATAACCGTAAAGCCCTCCACACTCGTTCCCTACGACAGGGAAAGGCCGTTCTTTGGACGACTGAGAGCTGGTCTTACCGACTAGTGCCCATAAGTGGCGTAGATTAAGACCTACGTCCTTGGCTACTTTCACATGTGCAACAAACTTGCACAATGTCACTTTGTCATGTTACAACCTTGTATCTCAAAAATGAGTTTAGGACCCCATTTTTTATTACATTTTTTAATTCCTCATCACAATTAATGGAAAATGGCAGAGTTTAATCAAAATTGATCAATCAAATTTTGAGAACAAACAATTCTGTAAGCCACATAGCTTTGCTAATGCTCCACATCAACTAAAATATAACAGTGTACTATAATAAAAAAATATTTTATTAACAACTCAGCAATTGAAAAAATTTACCAATTCTACCAATTACTGTTAAGTATGCAAACATAAAGGGAATTGATTTTACCTTTTTCCTTAATTTCTGTATCCTATTTATGACTTCTCTCGCCACTCCTTCATCAACCATAGACTGATCTTGATTAACATTTAATAAGACTAATACCTATGTAAAGAATAAAGAAAATTTTGAAGTATTTAATATCTCAAATTAATAAATCAAAAATAATTTTTTAAACTTACACAAACTTAAACTTAAATTTTACAATATATTGTTAAATATTGAATAAATATACTTACATTCTCATCAGCATGAGCCTCATAGCTTTCAGTTAATTTATCAGCCAAATCTCCACTAAAACTATACGATATTCTAATATCACCCTTTTCTAATTTATGACCACAAACTTCTAATTCTTCTCCATTTAAATATTCCTGAAGTTTTTCTTCATTGAGTTCCTGAATTAATTTAGTTTTAAAATTAACTTTGTAAAATTATTAAATTGAATTGATTACATAAAAAGTTTTATTTAAAATAAGAATTTTTATAATCTTGTTTGAAAATTTAAAATAGATGTAACAAAATATATAATTTTATAAGTATTATTTTGCTAATTTGTCAGTATTTTTCTATTTATTTAAAATAGATCTTTTTAAAAATCCATTACTGATTCATTAATCTTGTGTAAAGTGATTAATATTTTTACAGTATTTTATTTTAAATAAAAATAGTTCTGAATTTATATTCCTTAAGCAATTTTATTTTAAAGTGATAAAATATGTTTAATTTTGTTTATCAAAATTCAATATTTTGATAAACAAAAATCAACATTATATTTTTTTTTCTAAAAGTAATTTTAAATTTCCAATCATTATTTAAAAAATATTTATTAAGAAGCTTCTCAGCTCATTTTATATCTATTAAATGTATTATTATTAATGTTGAATTTATTTAATTTGAGAACTAATCCAAATTAGATTAATTTTAGCTTCAATGCTAAAGTATTTATCAGAACTAAGTGTTCATTCATTTACATATGTACTAAAACAAAACCAAAATGATTGGACAAATTTTAATTAAAAGTAAATATAATAATTAAAAAAAAATTTAACAAGTTCAGTTAGAAATGAATTAAAAGAGAGCTGAAGTGTTTCTCAGAAGAACCAGAAAGTGATTTTTCTGTATTTTTCATGCATGAAATAAACCCATAAAAACATGTTTGTTGAAGGTCATAGTGCCCCAGCTACCTTGACCAGACAAATGTTCAAGGTCATAGCTACATGCAGACCACACATCATCATATCATGCATAACTGAAAAACATCCACGATGTCATGACTATCTCTTGTGGTAATAGTGACAGACCTCTGTGTTATCATTTTTAGTGATCTGAGGACATCAAAAATAATGTCAGAGCATAAAACTGCCAGACATGCATGCAATTGCATGTGCAATTTCCACAGCAATTTTTTGAGGGAATGTGATAAGTGAAAAAATTTTTCTGACTGAAATTTTTACACAATTAGAAGGAATAGTATGTAGCATGAGGATATATATCATTATAGATATTAAAAGATATAGAGAATACAGAAACACAGCCAAGTTAAGTCAATTTGGTGAAAAATGCCTGCAAAACCAGCACATGTGGAAAATCACTGGTATTGTATTTGATCATGAATTAAATAAGCAATCTTCTGTCACATCCTTACATGATGATGCTTGAGTTTTGTATATTTTGATGATCCAATACATATTCCTCTTCATTCTTAAATAGAAAATGGATAGAACTGTTTAATGTGACTATTTTATTAAAATTAACTGAAAACATTTTCCTTACCAATTTTAAATTCTTTAAACTTGTAAATTTAAAAATATTTGATATCCACCACGAAGCATGTTTTCTTACATCATTTCATTTTTAGCTATCTTAGTGTTAATCATCTTAGTAATATTACCTATAATTCTAAAGTTGAAGCAAAATCAAGCAGTAGTCTTTTTTATATATTCTTTTTGTATTGTTGCTTTCTAGTAGATTTTTGAACAACAAAATGTGAAACCACATGTTTAGACTATACCTGAATATATGTTTGAACAGATATAGGTTTCCTATAAATGTTTTATAAACTGCTTTAATCATCTTATCTAATTCATTTTAGCATTTTCAATCTGATCAAGTTAAATCATATTATTCTTATTTACAGAGAAGTTTCATGTAATGCAGGAAAACCATATAGGTAAGTCAACAAAGTTTTGGTACTGCAATGTTTGTGACAATGACTACTAAAATTCTGATGATAAACATCACATATTCTGGGTCCACTGTGCATGTCAGAGTGATTTTTCCTGTTTAAATATGAGGGTCATTCTAAAAGTAAAGAACGTTTGTTTCTCTAGATATTTTTATTTAAGATAATGAAACAAAACTTATTTTACAATGCTTATGATACCTTAGCTATATTTCTACATAGTCATCATACAAATTTAAACATCTGTCATAGCGTATCATCAGCTTTTCTATGCCTTCTGCACACTCAGTTACTGCCAAGTTCTTGAACCAGTCATTAACGGCCTCTTTCAGTTCATTGTCACTTCCATAGTGATTCCCGGCTAAAAAAATCCTTCAATTTTGGGATAAGATGTAATCACTCAGAGCCTAGTCCAGGCTATAAGAGGGATGTTCAAAAACTTCCCACTTAAACTGCTGAAGCAAGTTTTTCATCAACGTGCATTATTCTGAAGAAGCACAATGCCTCTGGACAACAATCCCCATTGTTTGTTTCGAACTGAAGCTTCCTTCATCACATTACCATAAACCTCGGTTATCTGTCTGTAAATTTCGATAGAGCAGACTTTTTTTGCATTCAAAAAGTGTATTACACTACAAACCTCACACTTGGCAGGATCTTTAATTTTGTCGCACATTTCAAAGTCACACTGTAAACAGTAAACAATTGTGGCTTGCTGTTAGCATCAGACAGGTTTGAAAACATGGGAAGGTCCATGAAGTGGCAGTGGAGGGTGGTGGGAGAACCGCATGACTTCTCAGATCAAAACGTTCTTTTCTTTTAGAATGACCCTTGTATGTTACTATGTAATGTAATTCAAATTTGTCTACACATAAAAATGTGTCTTTTTATAAAATTCCTAGCATTAAAAAGGAGAACAAACACAACTCACTAAATGTCATCAAGCTGCCTGGCTAGATCATATCAACAAAATGATAATTAGCATAAATAATATAAGTAAACAATGCCTTTTTAACAGTCCAGCAAAAACATTTAATTCTCTAATAACGTTTTCGACCGATTTTAGTGGCCTTCATCAGTTACTCCAATATCAAAAAGAACAAAGTATTCAAAATTTACATAATACAAAATTAAATAAAATAAAATTAAACTGCGGTTGCGTAGAACAACAGAAAAAAATAAAAATACAAAAATAAATAAATAAATAAAAATAAACAAATAAACCCAAATAAATAATAATGCCGTCATATTGGATATATATATTAACTTGTGTTAGTGTAAAATGACTTCCAAGCAGTTGCCAAACCTTCTGCATCTCTGTGATTGATACATTCCGTGGCTATATGCGCTTTATGTATTTCTATTTTTTCAAGTTGCTTCACCGCTTGTAATGATCTCGTGGCCCTAACAATCACCGCACGATCCCAGTATACAGTTACATCCTGTTGTTTGGCAAATGCCGCCAGAACAGTACTATTGATGTTCCTACCTACAGAATATTTATGCTCATTTATCCTTTGTTTTAAATTCCGCATAATTGCCCCAACATACAAGAGGTCGGAATTAAACTGACAATCTTTTATAGGTATAGAATATATACCCGTCAAGCTATTTCGATTATCCTTCTTCTTGTCATTCCTTAACATTCCATACACAGTTGGATTGCGTCGATATATTATTCATAACTTATTTTTATTGGCAACTTTCCTAACTATCTTGTTTAGAAATGGAAAATAATTAATTACCACATTTTTTCTTTGATCAATTTCGGGAGGCTGCTGGTTTTGCTTCTGTATTCTTTTAATAAGTGCCTCAATCTCTTTTCTGTGGTATCCCTGTCGCACCGTTGCCTTTTGTATGTAATCTAATTTTTCATTTGTATCATATAAACTCGTGCAGTGGGTGTACGCTCTTTTAATGAGGAATTAGATTACATACAGTAAGATTTTTTGATAATTAGCATAAATATTGTATATAATTGAATAAATGATCAGAATTAAACATATACATTAGTAAAATCTATCATCATTAGAAAAAAATAAGTAATGAAATAAAATCAATTGAATACTAAATATTATTATTAAATATTAAAATAAATTGTAAAAGTAAATTTGTCTTTTACTATCCCATAAAACAGCAAGTGTTCCTTCACAAAAGTAATTAAAATATTAAAATATCTGATATAAGCAAAAGAACTGTTCTCCAGGACATTTTTTATTAAATTATCTGCATGAACCCAGCCATCTGTTATCTAGTTATGTGCTTCTGATGACTTGAAACATTTCCAGTGATCCAAAGTTAAGTGACGAGTGCTGTGCACAAGGTAGTTCTTACTTCATCATATTTGGTCTTCATCCACAAGATTTTATTGTTGACAAATTCACATCAGATTCACATAGAAACAAATCAGCATTTTATGATAAGTACTGTTTTGTTTTGGTAATGCACAGCTAAACTTGCAGCTTAATCATCTAAAAATCACTTTCCATTGCTCTGAGCAGTTGCCATCAATCTACAGTTTTATTAAAAATAACTCCTTCCTGCTTTTTACCAATAAAAGTTCATTCAGAAGGCAGAGAGCAAATAAAACAATCATGCACTTACAACCATGTAAAAATGGCATATAATGCTTCACTATCATATCACAAACATAGTGAGAGTGGGACAGAAGACATTTTAATTATTTGGCATGACATCAGTGCAACTTCTCTATATTGTAAATAAAATTTACATATATTTCTAATATGTTTAATGAATGGTTAAGTTGTCTAAAATTGTATATGATTAAATTATTATTTTTTTTGAAAATTAGCATATATCTAAAATCTAGAACCAACTGTATAAATTCTCCTATAACCAGCAAGGAAATCAGTACATGCCTCAATATCTTTATCTCTAGCTCATTTAAATGATTTGCTTCAAATATGAAATACAAAAGAATAAACTACTGAGTATCCAATATTATGCAATTCCATCTGACCTTCCTTTTTCTTATAAAAACTTTTGTATAACATCATACATCACCTTCAGCCATTTATAGATCAACATTTCAAAAACATAACCAGCTTTGAAAATATTAATCCATGTTGAGAGCAGTGCCAAAACTATAGTCTATTTATCCTAACTTGGCACCTACTGTAAACAAAGATTTTGTCATATTAATCCACCAGAGATTTTCATTGGTCAAATCACAATCCGAAGTGGCTAGACACGTGTTGACCAGTTTAACACGTGCAGAGAAAAGGGCTTAAGTAGGTCAGAGTGGTCAGCAATTTAAAAATTTTAGAAAAGTTATTATAGCCTACTTTAACAGTTTTATGTAGCCATTTAAATTATTTCCATCATTTAAATATAGTTAATAACATATATTTAATAATAATTTTTGACAAAGATTTACACAAAATATATTTATAATTATGTAGTTGAACATACTTCAGAATTTTTATCTACACAACTAATTTATTAAAAATAGATATAAAACAAAACAAAAAAAATTGTCTGGCAATCCTTAAAAATCATATGCAAACCTCTAAAGGAAAACATTACTGTAATGTATGAATTAATCTTTGTGATATTTATATAATTAAAAATTTTAAAAAATAATTAATAAGGTAAGTTTACACTATAATCATCTGTATCAGAAGATAGTTGCTCAAAGTAATCATTTATATCACTTTCATCACTACTTGTGTTCGAGTGAATAATCAGTTTTTCTACAACAGTTTCCGAAATCTCATCAAGTTCCCACATTCATTGTTCTTTTTCTATATGTGTGATACATTTTCAATACATTTTGAAATAATGATAGTTATTGTAATGAATGGAAAACGAAACAAAGACATTATAGTGTGCATGACCGTAAAAAGTTTATTTTTAGTGATTCAGAGTGTGCAAATGTTCATTAAAATAACAATTTAACAAATATGAAATAATTACATTTATAATCATTGCTAAGTGACTAATATTTCATTAATGATTTTATAAATAAGGAAGAACTATTTTCTGCAGACGAATGAGACACAACGCGGTTTCTAATTGATGGACGTGGGTTTAAACCAATAAACAAAGGAAGATGTGTCTTAGTTTGTTTACAGTAGGTGCCAAGTTACGATAAATAGACTATAGGAAAGTGCAACAGGTACATAGACATAGGACCCAAAATAAAGGAAAGTCTCAAAATGAAAGTGATAAAAAAAATTATCAAATATTCCATAATAATATGTTCATTTAAAATACATCTGAATGATCTTGTATATTTATTGTATACACAAAAATTATTTATAAACAATTGTTTTATCATATTTGTTTTATTATTATTATTATTATACCACACACAAGAAAAATGAAAAGCTAGTTATAACACTGGTTGAGATCCTTCTTAAAGATTGTAAGTTAAAATTTCTGTTTCAATAAATAAAAATAAAAATTTTTTGGAATTTGTAGAACTTAACTACAGTAAAAATAATTCCTTTTATTAATTTATTTTATGTAGTATCAATATTTTAAAATAACAATACCATTAAAAAAAAAAGCCAGTTAAAAACAGTTCTCTCAGAATTTATCAGAAACCAATTCTTTGATAAAAATTTGAGAAAAATATTTACAACTATTTACATAGAAAATTATCATATAATAATTTTAAAGTTTAAATATTTTATATTTTAATTCAGTAAACTTTACTCACTCGGATAGCTTGAACTACAACTTTTGACGCTGCTCTAAGTCTTATTCCAAGAGCCTTAATGTCTGGTTCTGCTTTTATACGAACACCATATTTTTTTTTATCTGTTGTAACAGTTAATGTTCTAATATTCAATTCCTAAAAGAAAAAAATTCTGTTTTATACCAACTTAATCATTTTGGTTAGAAAATATTGTTGCATTATGTAATAAATTTTTATCCTTATAATTTGGAATTTGATTTTGTTGTTACAAAAAAACTCATTATTAAATGATAGGAAAAAAATTTTAAAATACAGACTGTAAAGACAAATTATTTGTACTAAATTTATAATCATCATTATTATTATTATTAAAAGTAAGTTTATTAAGTATTTAGGGCTGGAATCCTGTTATTGGGGCTAAATATTTAATACAATAGCATTTTTACAATCAAAACAATGTAATATAGTTAATTATAATTAGAATGAAAAAATAATTTATTATTATTAATTCTTGTTTATTCTTTGATCACAATTTGTACTAAATTTTAAAATCTTACCTCTAGTATATAATTCTGCAAAGAAAGCACATCATCAAGGTATTCTTGATTTTCATTAATTACTATCAGTTCAGGAAGAGGATACTAAAAAATGAAATAAAACAAAATAAAATCATTTATCTAATATTTTTTTTCATATTCTTACATTTATATTCTAAATATAATATACAATAATACACACTTGTTTGTTATTTGTATTTTCTTGATAAAATAGATTTATAAGTTTGGTAAGACTGAAAAATCTTATAAAACTTTTAAACATGTTAGTCATTTGTGAGTTGTAGGTTTAGAATATGATGTTATAAATATACTAATTATTATAATATTACGATTTTTAAATTTTAGTTTCAATGAAGTGCAATTTTTTAATTAAAAAATGATTACTCATAACCTATTTTCTACAAAACAACAATTTAATGAGTGCAAGATAAGATTTACAGAATCAAAATACCAGCATTTTTTTCCTGGCTTGATGTTTACATGTACAGTCGACCCCCCATAACGCAGTAGATATGTTCCACTTTATAAGAATTTCACATTGTAGGAATCCTTAAATACGTGAGCCAATCACAGCCCGGCACGTGTGCAATTTACAGACTATGGCTGTTTGAAAGGTTTCTTCCATAAAATTAATCGATTCTAGACTAATTTGACTCAACATTTCCAAAACATGTATAATTTTTTGGGAATAATAGGTATAAACTATGCTATAAACAAAAAATTGTAGGATTACTTACCGAGTGTGTAATATTCGACGACACCATTGCTTAAGATTGTTTTCATTGCGGAGCAGCGCATCGAATGGCAGGCGCATTTTCTGATAAGTTATTTTTCTGCAAAAAATTCGCTAAACTTTGGAGACATCATTAATAGAAATAATTTTTATGGCCGTTGAATAAGAAATGTTTTTTTCACAAGAAATGTATAAAATTACAGTACTGTATTAGACTTACAGTACCTAATTTAGGCCTATATACTGTACAGACGATAGTAAACTCAACTTACCCACCTAAACTCTCCGTAGCGTGTAAGTAGTTTGGCTGCTCGTCCACTATTGGTCCAGATTCGACCAATCCTGTCACGACATGAGTCAGCGATGATGTTTTATCGCATTTTATGAGTCTCTTTTAGCGTCTTTATATGAATATGGTCACAATTTTTTCACTGTGATATATGAATCCACATTATATGAACATGCGTTATAGGGGGGGTCAACTGTATATTATTTGAGTATACATTTGATAAGTTATCTCAGGCAATAAAAAACTTCCAAAATTTTATGTTATTAGTCAATCTTTGCTTCAAATAAAACATAGTTTTCTTATTTCATCTTTCTAATATGGCTTAGTACATCAATTAACATTCTATATAATTATAACAGCTGCAACAAGTATAATTAATGCCAATAACACATGTGCATTAATAATAACAAACAAACAAAACAACTTTGAGTTAGTTTCCAAAGCAAATATTTAATAAATCCAAATGGTAAATATCAAGAAAAATAATTAATTATATTTTTAATCTATTACAGTAATACCCCGAACTTACGCGATAGGTGGGACCGAGCAATAACCACAGAAGTCAGGATATAATTTCACAATTTGTGTAAAATCCAAATCGGATGTATGTAAGCTAATAAATGTTCTCATTAACCTTATCTCGCCTTTTAATTTGTTCACGGTTACAAGTAATCACCACATAGAGTCTCTCAAGTATCCATAGATATAAAAAACACAGAAATAAATAACACAAAATAAATTGTAGCTATGTGTGGATTCCGCGTGACATGTCCGAACATGTAAGCTGAACAATAGTGTGGGGGGAGTGTGTAATCAAGAGTTGCATGGCGCTCGAACAAAAGACGAATCAACGAGATTTGAAAATCGCGTAACTCTGGATTTGCGTAAGTCGAGGTATTACTGTATTTTGTTTCAATGTGAATATTAATAAAACTATTTCCGTTTCTGCTGGAAACAAAAAGTAAATTTCTAACTAAAAAATAGATTATTATTCAAATTAAAAATTTTAATATTATAGCCAATAAAAATGACTTAATTTCATAACTTAAACCTACCTAATACATACACATATACATGTATTAAAATTTATAAAATAATATTTTATAAAAAAAACTAAGACAAGTTTCTTGATAAATATAGTTTATCAATCATAATTAAGAGTAAAAGAAAATGAAATTTTCTTTTACTCTTAATTATTCTTATTTACTTTTAATACTTTTGATTAAATGTTTTTTGAGATATTCTCATCTCATCATCAGATCAAATAAGAAAGATTCAAAAACCGAGTGGACTTGGTTTTGAATATGACTTATTTGATCTGATGAAAAGATGAGAATATCTCAAAAAAAATCTAATCAAAAGTATAAAATTTCTTTTGAAATTTTTGAAATAAGAGTAAAAGAAAATTTCAAACCAAGTCAACCAAGTGGACAGTTTCAAAAGAGTTAAATGATTTACTTTACTTATTTTATATTGCTAAATAATTGCTTTTAGAATAGTAATAGAATCATAAATTTGTCATTTTTATTTAATGGCATTAAAAATAATCATATTTAAAACATGATATATCTTTTTATATTAATAATAATAGAAATCTTACTTTAATTGGTAAAGTTCTTCGATCTCGCAGCAGCCTACCTAATTCAATAACTGCTTGCATCCTAGAGACTTTCCTTTCAACTTCTATATTTATAAGACTCTCTCTGTAATTATATTAAATCCTATTGTAATTCCAATTAATAAAATAGTTTTTTTTNTCGGCTGCTCGTCCACTATTGGTCCAGATTCGACCAATCCTGTCACGACATGAGTCAGCGATGATGTTTTATCGCATTTTATGAGTCTCTTTTAGCGTCTTTATATGAATATGGTCACAATTTTTTCACTGTGATATATGAATCCACATTATATGAACATGCGTTATAGGGGGGGTCAACTGTATATTATTTGAGTATACATTTGATAAGTTATCTCAGGCAATAAAAAACTTCCAAAATTTTATGTTATTAGTCAATCTTTGCTTCAAATAAAACATAGTTTTCTTATTTCATCTTTCTAATATGGCTTAGTACATCAATTAACATTCTATATAATTATAACAGCTGCAACAAGTATAATTAATGCCAATAACACATGTGCATTAATAATAACAAACAAACAAAACAACTTTGAGTTAGTTTCCAAAGCAAATATTTAATAAATCCAAATGGTAAATATCAAGAAAAATAATTAATTATATTTTTAATCTATTACAGTAATACCCCGAACTTACGCGATAGGTGGGACCGAGCAATAACCACAGAAGTCAGGATATAATTTCACAATTTGTGTAAAATCCAAATCGGATGTATGTAAGCTAATAAATGTTCTCATTAACCTTATCTCGCCTTTTAATTCGTTCACGGTTACAAGTAATCACCACATAGAGTCTCTCAAGTATCCATAGATATAAAAAACACAGAAATAAATAACACAAAATAAATTGTAGCTATGTGTGGATTCCGCGTGACATGTCCGAACATGTAAGCTGAACAATAGTGTGGGGGGAGTGTGTAATCAAGAGTTGCATGGCGCTCGAACAAAAGACGAATCAACGAGATTTGAAAATCGCGTAACTCTGGATTTGCGTAAGTCGAGGTATTACTGTATTTTGTTTCAATGTGAATATTAATAAAACTATTTCCGTTTCTGCTGGAAACAAAAAGTAAATTTCTAACTAAAAAATAGATTATTATTCAAATTAAAAATTTTAATATTATAGCCAATAAAAATGACTTAATTTCATAACTTAAACCTACCTAATACATACACATATACATGTATTAAAATTTATAAAATAATATTTTATAAAAAAAACTAAGACAAGTTTCTTGATAAATATAGTTTATCAATCATAATTAAGAGTAAAAGAAAATGAAATTTTCTTTTACTCTTAATTATTCTTATTTACTTTTAATACTTTTGATTAAATGTTTTTTGAGATATTCTCATCTCATCATCAGATCAAATAAGAAAGATTCAAAAACCGAGTGGACTTAGTTTTGAATATGACTTATTTGATCTGATGAAAAGATGAGAATATCTCAAAAAAAATCTAATCAAAAGTATAAAATTTCTTTTGAAATTTTTGAAATAAGAGTAAAAGAAAATTTCAAACCAAGTCAACCAAGTGGACAGTTTCAAAAGAGTTAAATGATTTACTTTACTTATTTTATATTGCTAAATAATTGCTTTTAGAATAGTAATAGAATCATAAATTTGTCATTTTTATTGAATATGACTTATTTGATCTGATGAAAAGATGAGAATATCTCAAAAAAAATCTAATCAAAAGTATAAAATTTCTTTTGAAATTTTTGAAATAAGAGTAAAAGAAAATTTCAAACCAAGTCAACCAAGTGGACAGTTTCAAAAGAGTTAAATGATTTACTTTACTTATTTTATATTGCTAAATAATTGCTTTTAGAATAGTAATAGAATCATAAATTTGTCATTTTTATTTAATGGCATTAAAAATAATCATATTTAAAACATGATATATCTTTTTATATTAATAATAATAGAAATCTTACTTTAATTGGTAAAGTTCTTCGATCTCGCAGCAGCCTACCTAATTCAATAACTGCTTGCATCCTAGAGACTTTCCTTTCAACTTCTATATTTATAAGACTCTCTCTGTAATTATATTAAATCCTATTGTAATTCCAATTAATAAAATAGTTTTTTTTTTTATCTATTACTAATGAAAAAAAAATTTTAATGAAACTTCTGAAATCACAAGAAAACAACTCTCTCATACCATACAATTATTGTTATTATTAATTAATTAATAAAATATTCAATTTTTAATGTGATAAATTGAATCCACTTGTTAAACCCCATGGTAAAATGTAAAATAAAATAGAAAAATTAAAACAAGTTGAATTTGTTATTCATAAAAAAAAATCTTGGTTTGATTTGGTTTGGAATTACATATGTATGAATTCTGGCATCATCAAGGAATGGAATAGCAAACTATTACAATAATGATAAAAATATTAAAACTAAATAATACTAGAAACTAGTTTTAATACAAAAAATATTGCTGAAACTAGTTTTAACACAAAAAATATTAAAACTAGTTTCAGCAATTTTGTGTAAAAAATATGATGATAAATTTTAAAAGCAAAAAATATATTTTATAAAATGCTTTTTAATCTTCAACAATGATGAAAATTACTGATCAAACTGAAAATCCATAATATATAAAAAGAATGAATATATATTAATATAATTTATAAAAGGCAAAGTATAGATCAACTAAAAGTAATAGAAAACATTATTTATTGCTGCATAGGTAAGTACTAAAACTAATTTATCAATAAAAGAATTTAAAATTTTTGAAATACATTAAAATTATTTATGGTAACTTTAATCTACTAACTCCTATGTATAACATGTTATTTCATTTCTTTTAAAAGCATTCAACACATCAGAAATACATCAAGTTTTGTTTACAAATTAGCTATCACTTAAAAAGTTTATGACTCCTACTGAATTGGCAATTGACATGCTTGATGCAACAATAAATACATTTTATAAAATTTTTCAGAAGACACAAACATTTTACACTTTGACTAACTTATTTAATAGATTCTAAATTTATGCTGTTTCAAAGACAAATAGGTAAGAAAATACTTAAGTGTTTTTGACTTTTTAGTTTTTATTTATTTTGTAAATAAAATATTAAAAATTATAACTGACTCATTGTTATACCAAAACAACAAAATTTACATTGCGTAATGCAATTTAAAGTACAGTGGAACCTCGGTATACGTCTGCTTTAGAATACGTCCTGTTTGGATGAAACAAATTTTGCTCGGTATACGACTTTTGTTCGGTATACGACTTAATTCAATTATACGCGCCATCTATGAACAAGTAGCACTATCGGTGTACTACACTAGACTAGACGTTCGCGGTGCTACGGTTTATAACTTTGTTAAATTTCTTCTGATTTTAATTTGTAAGTAACATTTTATTATTTTTATTAATGATGGATTGCAAAAGGGCAACAGAAAAATAAAAAAATGACTAGAATCACAACGGAACTGAAAAAAGAGATTGTTGAGAAATATGAAGGTGGCACGCGTGTTCGAGATTTAACGAGATTTAACTGTTGCATTCCGTATTCCGAGAACGACAATATCGACAATCGTGAAAAATAAAGACATTATTAAATTTGCTAACATTGCGAAAGGGGTTAAATCAATTAATAAACAGAGATCGGAGACATTAGATCATGTTGAAGAATTGCTTTTGCTTTGGATAACTGAAAAACAGGGTGCAGGCGACAGCGTATCGGAAGAAATTATTTGCGAGAAAGTTAAAAGGATACATGTTGATCTCATGAAAAATCAAGCAGAAACTAGCGAGGAAAGCGATGTGTTTAAAGCCAGCCATTTTTTTTACATGAGAACGGATTAATCATTTTTACATTACTTCTTATGGAAAAGGTTGGTTTGGTATACGTCCTATTCGGTATAAGTCCAAACACCAGGAATGAATTAAGGTCATATACCGAGGTTCCACTGTAGTTACAAAGTATATTTTATTCACTTTCATTTCACATTTATAAAATTGGATTTTTATAAAATTGAAAATTATGGGATGTTACTTTGCATGTTGGAGCAACAAATGGTATTCTGCTAAATATAATATATAGCAGTCATCTTTCTCTTGCAACAATAGCAAAATCTCTATGTAGTATGACTGCATGTTGCACCCATTGATGAATTGATCAAAAGATACATAAATTGTAAAAAAGTAAATTTTAAAAATTTTGTTACTTGACTGTTTCACTGGGACCTTCAATTTGAAAATAACTTTGAAAAACAACCAAATTAATAAGAAAATTTTGAAGCCTGTGAAATGAACCTATAAATATCATACATATACTGGCTCTAACTCACCCAGATGGGAACAAAAAAATTTTAACAATTTTATCAATATTGCAAAAAATTACAAAAATACTGCCAAAATTTGACAGAAATCATGAAAAATTAGGCAAAAATCTCAAAAATTAAAAAACTCTAAAATATTCTTCATTTGCATACCCAAAACATAATTTTTATCAAAAGTTTCCAAACAGCAATAAAAATTGTTCCATTTATGACCTCAGTTTTGGGGATCTGTTACTCTACTTGTTTAAAAAATATTTTTTCTAAATAAATGAAGATGTTTATCATTTATGGTCATATATTATCCTTATTGGAACTTTAGTACAAATAGAAAATATTTGAGAAATCATTGCAAATCATATAAAAATAAAAAATATCAAAAACCTAGCAGAAGGTTTTTAAATACATTAGATGAGTGGAAATTAATTGAAATATTTTCAAAGATATGAAGACTTATTTCCACTTATCAACAAACTCCAAGGTAAGTGCTTTATTCAAATTTCCACAATCTTTCACACCTCTGTATACAAATTTTAAGTCAACAAATAATACGTTAAACTCCATGCCAAATATATAATACACACACTGTCAAACAGCATTAAAATCTTTTTTATAGCACATGTACTTTCAAAGATACAAAATCATCATCAATAGGATAGTGAACATCTCAAATTGGAACAGAATGTCAACTGTGTGCAGTTCAATCTAAGCATCTAAACATTTAAAATTCAGAACAGAATTTAAAGTTCACAAGTACGAGAAAGAAGGAAAATTGGAACATAAGGCAAACAAAAACAAAAAGTGCTTTGGAATGCATGTTGTTTTTGTTTGCCTTTTGACCAATTTTTCTATAAAGTTAAACCCCGATTCTCACAATAGTTTTTATTGTTGAAGCTTAAACTATTTTCCGACAATGGGAAGGTGAGTCCCGCTCACAGGGTCAGTGGACTGCAATTTAGGAGAGTGAAAATCAAGTGGGAGGTCAGAGATAAGTCAATAAGGTGTTGGCCGAGTACGAGTAAACACGCATATTTAAGATATTATACAAATTTAATTAATAAATGCTATTCTAAAAGGTTACAAATAACAAGATTAATAGTAATAATTCCAAACTGAAGTTCCAGAAGACGGTTAGTGGGGTTGCATTTCACATATTTCCGACAAAGGAAAGGCTCTAATCCTCATTAATATCTATCCTTAACTAGTCCTAATCCACCTGAGAGGAAAGAGAGAATTCTACTTACTGAGTTGTGAATTGTGGAACCTTGCTTAATCATTCGTTGTCGGTGGTCAGTGTTGGATGGCAGCTGACCAGTTGTTTCCTGATGTCTTGAAGGCCGCCTCAATAACAGGCTGTGAGCCCTCTTTATACTAAATTTGAGGAGGTGAGAACTTGTCATACTATTAATGATTTACACGCACACCTGTTAGTGTGTTGATGTCTGGATCTATCTAGTATGGAACGTCACCGATGTATTCTTTTGTCGGATTGTTGACATTGGTCAACTGAAGGTAAAATTCTATGATATAAATTCCTACAAATTTGACAGTTCTCTCCCATTAATTATTATATATTTTGACAATATCTTCACTGATTTGATAATAATTTCTAAATTGTTTATATTAAATATCGTATTAGTCGACGAGAGAGGCAATTATCATCATGTTGTTTTGGTTATCATGCAGGTGTCAGCAGACAAATGCCACGTGCAGCTAAAGGAGGGGTGAGAATTGCCACTTATTAGTTTCTTTTAAACGTCTGTTCTTGTCTTGTTGATTTTATTGTTGATCGAATTTATCGGTATAGACTGTGACATTTAACCCGAGGAGAGAGTTTCATTTGTTGATTGTAAACTATCCCTTTTTTTCTGTAGAATTTCTAGGGTTAGGAGGAGAACGATACTGAGTTAAACAATACAAAATAGAATATCACACTATTCTAATTCATTGATTACTCATATTCATATTTAATACTAATGAATCAGTGAAAAAGCTGATATGTTTATCTTGATAAAAATATTTTATAAAAATCTGTCAAATTTTCAGTATCTGTCATTACAAAAATAAATTAAAATAAATCTTCAAGTTTATTAAAATGCATTAAACTTTTAAGAAGAAAAGCATAATATTCAATGAAAAATGAATGTGCTCTTGAATGATAAATATCCAATTGAATTTAGCAAATGGCAAAACCTAAAAGTCTTGACGTCAAAACATTTTAAATAATAACAAATATTTTTAATGGTTACTAATGTTAAAAAATGGTTACTAATGTTATAAAATTCTGTAAATAGTCTTAAGATAATACTAATCAGAAAAAGATGTATTCTAATTGAAAATAATTCAATCTGAACAATTTTTGTCATAAAATAAAAAATTATAATCAATTACAAAATTCTACACTATTTTCTAGCTTTTTCTTGGTACTAAAAATTTCCCATTTTTCAAATTTACCCAGTGAGTGAGCATCCTGATAAAAAAGTATTAAACAACATAAATTTCTAAATCAGAAGTAAAATCAAAATTGGCTAATGTTCTACCCAGTTGTTAAATGAGGAATTTGTATGATTATATATTTTTTAAATTATTGTAATCCAATTTAGTGAGTGAATAAAATTATAACAGATATTAAACAAAAATGTTACTTACATTATAAAAAATAATTAAAATTACNGTACAATTTGAATGTAGAAACATCTTCATTAAAATTAAAAATTTTGGCCAATGGTATTTATATTAAAATATAAAATATATAAATATACTGAAACTACAAGTTGTCTTCATTTTCTGTCATTCACAACACCAGTGATAGTCCAAAACAATTTTCACTTACTGTCACTAGTGTTGGAAATGAATTCAACAATTTCACTCAAGTATTTAGAAAGGAAATGACACAACACAACACACACATTTACAAAAAATATAAAATATATAAATATATTGAAGCTACAAAAATTTTTTAATTTTCTGTCATTCACAAACACCGATGACAGTCCAAAACGATTTTCACTTATAAAAACAACTTTTTATTTGTTGCTTTTTATCTATTTCACATATTTTTGGGGAGGCACAACTCAAATAAAAAGTCATCTCTATAAATGAAAATTATTTTGGCCTGTCACTGGTGTTTTTACATGACTGAAAATGAAGGCATTTTTATAGCTTCAATATATTTATATACTGTATTTTATATTTTAATGTAAATACCATTGGCCAAATTTTTAATTTTGAAGATAACTTAATGACCCTTTTTTTTTTTTTTTTTTTTTTGAAAAACCTTTGCAAATGTAATATGTAATATTCTTGTACAATACAAACAGCATTAATTTCAAACCTGTAGATTAAAAATATTGAATGAATAATCCATTCTCTGCAAAATTTCCTATTAACATGAATACTTAAACCAAAGACTAATTTATATATTAGCACATAACATTAAATTGTATATATGTTTAATTTCTAAAAAATAGTAATTCTGACTATACGATTATAAAAATATTTTCCAATGTTATTGAAACAAACTAATTTTGATTACATCTTTGATTTAGGCAATATTAAATTGTTTCATTTAGTCACACATTCATGTTATCTCTTACATGATGCAACAGAGCACAATGCATAAGTGAGGTTGCAATAAAATATGTAATGAAATGCAATGTGGCATAAAGGAGGTTAACTGATAAGCACCAAATTTACAACTTTAAGACATACTTACTGAGATTCTGGAAAGTTGAGATAGTGAACACTCTCATTTGATTCTAACTTATTTTCAGTAATTAGATGCCTGAGATTTTGATACATTAATTCAGTTAAAAAAGGAGTGAATGGTGCCTAAAAATAGTTTGTAAAATCCTTATATTATAAGTAAATTCTAAACAGACATGTAAAATTTATTACTTAAAAATCTTAAATTTCATTTTTATGATTAATAATGAGATTATTATTAATTGATTTGTCAATATGACAACATATTAAATCTACACTGTCAGCTGAAGTTCATTGTAAGTGACTTAAGCTATATAAGAGTCACAAGCATGGATGCAGAATATGGAACAGTGCCCAAGCATAAGCTACCCACGATAAATTTTGCATCCAAATCAGACTCAAATTCAGATTTTTCAAAGCAATAGATTGGCATCTGACCATCTGATCAACACTAAAGATAGATCATAAATTCTTTATATTTAATAGGTACATTAATAAAGCAATATATAAAAATTTTCATAATAATTTAAAATTTTTATAAGGAAATGACTTCTGTCTCTTGATAAAGAGAACTATTTGATATATATCTTAAGAATTAAAAAAAAATACTGGAATATTGCATTTAATAAAAAAACAATTTTTAATTATTATATTAATTTTTGAAGATACTTTTTTAATTTAAAATTCCTATCAACTAAAATATCAGGTTCCAACTCAAATTTTTCTTTTAAATTCTATGACTTTCCCTGACTAACTTAGTACAAATTCCGACCCTCATGTCCCTTAAGCCCTGGTCACACTATGTGATTTCTAGCCGCGCAAGCGACTGCAACTGCAACAAGCGCGAGTCTCGCGCATTTTCTTGTGGTCACAGATTGTTTGTTGATGTTGCAACTTGGAAACACATGACCCTAAAATAAACCAATAAAATTACAGTAGCTTGTTTTTGACTACTTTCGTGAGTTTACCGACATTTTACATTCTATTTCATAGTATTTGCAGAATTTTAGCCACGTTTCTTAAAATGATAGGCAGTTCCTTTTCTGGAATGAATAAAAGGAAAAGACGATTATTTTGATAGAGCTGGCGAGAATACACAAAAAGATAAAATCTTCGATAAAATAAAGAATTAAAATCCCACAGGTATTTATGAGTGTGAATAAGCTCAATCAATCTCGATTCTGTAAAAGTATAAATCCTCTATCTGCCATGAGGATGAACTATTTTCAATGTTGTCACTGTATGACGTGGCACAAAAGCGTTTGCTGATTGGATATGTGTTTGCAATCATTGCAAGTAGAACAAATTTTTTGTTTCTAGTCATGGTTGCAGTCACGCCAGTTTTAAAAGGGAGTTTACTAGTTAACAGGAACAGCCATCGCGGTTGCAGTTGCTTGCACGGCTGGAAGTCGCATGATGTGACCAGGGCTTTACAGTATGGCACATTGACAAAATAAAACAGCATTTTACTTACTATGCACATATGCTATTGCTTCTCCAACTTTTTAATTAGTTATTTTTTCTAATAACAGTTATATTTTTTTATAATTACCAAATTATTAAAGCTAAAAATATATTGTTTTATTAAATTAAAATAGTTTATCCTGTTATTAATCCATAACCATACATCTATGTGGCTTTGAAAAAAGTCATTATTTATTTTTCATTCATTCCCAAAATTTCTCCCAAGCATACACAAAATTTCCCAAAATTTTACAACGTACAAAAAATAATACATACATTTCATTTATGTTATTATTTGTCATTTTTCATTTTAATAATTTTGAATGTGTAACAAAATGGTTTTTATTTTCTTGTTTATTAATATTTTATAAGTTCAGAAAATTTATTAAGGGATAAATTTAATAAATATATACTTTTGTACATGTATTATACAGGATTTGTTAATCCTATGTAATAATACATGTACAAATTACATAATATAATCACATTTGTTTTTATTTTCTTTTATAAATAATGTAATTAATAAAAAATTACTTTAAAAGTTTTGTCACTTGTCAATTAATTGGGATTAAATTTAAAAATAACATAAATTTTGTTAAAATATTAAGAGCAGTTTAATTTTTTAGTCAACATTTTTAAATACAGGATGATCATACAGTAAACACAGTATCCCTTTTCAATGTAGTCTCGGAATATGTAACAGTCCAAACACAATGTTGCAAAAACAAATTTTCTATGCTGACATTTCAGAACATACAAAAGAAGTTTCTGCAGATGAAAAATTTAGAACTTCACTAAAAGCATTGCAAGTGTCAAAAAGCATCTATCATATGCATAATGTATATGTTATCTATGTTTTCTAGTATAAAACTGTCCATAGCAAATGGAATTCCATCCATATTATGGCAGATCAGTTAGAATGGTAATGATCCTTCCAGGACACTTCTTTGTAATGATATTTTAAATAGTAACACTAGGAATGTGCTTTGAAATTTCAAAATTATAAATTATGCAAAAATCAGTTACAGAATCACATATCTTGCAGTGGTGAGTTTTGAAACTAAATTTTTCCCCTGCAAAAGTCTTTTCTGCATGTCTTGAAATGTTATAACACAAAATTTCTTAGTATTTGGACTGCATATCCCTCCAGACAGTGTTGAATAGGGATACTTTAATTATGACCATCCTGTATACTATTGTAAGATATCTTATAATTAGCAATTAATTTTGTTAATTTTTTTAATATATTTTATTTTATTTGATTACAAACAATGTTATAATAAACAGTGGTTACAATCTATTTCTATATAAGAATAAAAGAATTAATATACATCCAGTCACAACTAAAGAATTATTCAAATTTACATCTTAATTAAAATTAAAATCTTAGTAAATAAATGACAATTTTTGTAACAAACTGTTATTTTATTGGGAAATCAATTATTGATTATTAAAAATAGATATGAAAATTCAGTAAAAGCAGCATTCATAATATTGAATATCACCTAGTATTAAATTGGTTATTCAGTAAAGATTCTTAAATTAATTACATTACTTAACAATTTAAAATCAGAATCACACTAAATTAAATAACTGTAAAAGATATCCTTACCATCATACGTATCATTGTGTATAAAACAACTAATAAAGTATCTAATGCCATTCTGCAATCTTCTTTTCCTCCTTCACCCTATTTTAAAATAATTATACTAAAAACTTTTGAAATGTTTTCAATTATTATTAAAAAAAAATTAAGTTTACTTATTTAAATAAACTAACCTTAAGTCTCTTCCTATTCATTCGAACATACCAATTTGTCAAATGATCCACAAATTTGACTAATCGAGGTAAAACTGTATACAGCTTATAAGCTATAAATATTCATAATAAATTTTAAAAATTATAAAAATAGAGTCTTAATATTAAAAGGAAGCTAATACATTGTCAATTTTTCTTTTTATTGCAAAACTTACTGCAATTTAGTCTATTACACTAAATATGGATCTAATCTTAAGTAACAAACTTTTATAAACAAATCCCTAGTTGTTTTTGAAGAGTTAAAATACAAGCAGGCCAAGCAATAAACTTTAGAGTGTCAAATAANAAACTAAATAATTTAATTTTAATAATGTTTTAAATTATACGTGTATACTCTATTTTATGAATTTTATATATACCATAACATCAATGCGTATAGTGATCATAAATTTTAATGTAATTTTCTATAATTTTAAGATATATGTATAATACCATTTTCATTGAAAAATGAAGTGAAAATACTCTTAATTCAATGATTATTCATATTCTTTTTTTCTACGTAAAAATTTAAAATATCTAACCTTTTTTTATTATTTCACTAAAAGCATAGATTCACTACTGAAAATATTTTAAAAAATGAATAATTTATTAAGTTTTTAAACTCTTCTATTTTTTCACACTAAAAACACCTATTTTGATAACACAAAGATATAGATTCAGCCAATTTGTATAGGAATTCAACAAATGAATAATTTATTAAATGATTAACATCAATATTTAATAGAACTAATCCAAAATAAAATACAATATGAAATTTTTCATGATTAACTTATCTTTCATTTAAATCACAAGCATCTATACTATTGAAAAATTAAAACTTAGGAAAACCAAATATTTTGTGTCAAATGATAATGCTGGATTCATTATTGGGCTATAACCTATTTAGTTAAATATACAGATATTATATAATTTGGACTAAAGACAAAAAATTAAGTGCCATCTTGTATTAAATTTAGTAATTAAAATTAAATTAATTGATTTAAAATATTTTGAAAGAAAAGATCAATCCAAGATAAGATTCAAAGTATAATTTCTGCTCACAATGCAAATGCACTGCTAATTAATTACCTGGACCTCCATCTGATCTTTGCTTTTAGACCAATTAATTTGGAAGATATAACCATATAGGTCACTCATTGTGCTAGTCAAAGGCAGAGAGAGTAACAAGATGAAAATTTAATAATCTATCTTTAGTCCAAATTACATACCTATATATTTATTAATTAACCAGATTACAGATAGATAATTGAATCTGGCATTATAATTTAATTATTAGCAGTAAACAGACACTTACATACTTATGAAGAATTTTAAATAATCACAGAAATCCATTTTCAATTATTAATTAAATGTTTCAGAAATAAATTAATGTAAAATTTGACAAACAATGACTTAATTATAACTGAGATAAATAAATTTATAATTAAATTATTGTGTTGTTCAAAAAGTAATTTCGTTTTTTTACCACTAGACTGATTAGTCATATTTTTCCCACCATTTTCATTCTAAACCATATTATCATTATAAATTTTGACAGCTAGCATTTTAAGGCTTATTTGTAAAAAATTTTTATGCAAATTTAAAAATTTGTAATTTTTATTTGTGCAATTGCTTATTTTTTGTGTCCCATCAAATATGGAAGATTGAAAGCAGCATTTTTGGCATATTTTGCTCTTTTATTACTGAAAAGGTAAAAATGCTGTTCAAGTGAGAAAAAAATTGTGAGATGTGTATGGAGAAGATGTATTGACAGAACAACAGTGCCAAAACTGGTTTACAAAATTTCATTCTGGCAATTTTAATATTGAATATGCACCACGTTGAGAATGGCCAGTTGAAGCCAACAAAATAAAGGTACTGATTGAAGCAAACTGCTGAATAACAACATGTGAAATCACTAAGAGATTAAATTTGTCAAATTGAACTGTTTATGATTACTTGAAACAAATTGGTTTCATTCAAAGCTTGATATATGGGTTCCACATGTTCTTAAAGAGATATGCTCTCTTTGGTGGGATTTTAGGGAATTTTTTTTGGAGCTTCTACCAGACAATTTAACAATTGATTCAAAAGTGTACCGCCATCGAGTAAATTGAATAATATCATCAAACAGAAAAGGCTGCCAGAATTGATCAACAAAACAGGTGTAGTGTTTTACCACGATAATGTCAAATTTCATACAAGTTTGGTAACTCGTCAGAAACTGTTATAACTTAGATGGGACGTGTTATCACACCAACCATATTCGCCAGATTGAGCACACTCAGATTACTACTTGTTCCAGTCTATACAAATTTTTTTTTTTTAACTGTAAGACATTTACTTGAAATGACAATGTCAAAAATCACTTCGATCAGTTTTTTGTAACAATGATCAAAACTTTTATGAATGTGAAATCATGCTACTGCCAGAAACATTGACAACAGGTATTTGTCCAAAATGGCCGATAAATAATTCAATAAAATATTTATTTATTATAAAAATATTATTTTTATAATAAATATGGGTTTATAATATTGTTTTTTTCCACAGAAAAAAAACGAAATTACTTTCTAAACAATCCAATATTATTACAGGTTAATATAACAAATTTAATAAACAAATAAGGACAATGTGATATTGTTTTAATAGAAACTTGCATACTTGTCTAGATTTTGAAAAACTTTTTAAAGTTACCATATTAATTTTAATAAATAATGTAATTAATTTAGAAATCTAGATAATAAGAATGATATAAAGTTTGCAAATAAAATTTATTTTAATGATTAGTTTTATTGAAAAAACCAAAATTATTAATTATATCTACCTGCCATTTCCTTCTTCACAAATAAAACTAAGCTTTGTGTAAATGATAATATCCATTGATCCATAAAATTATTTGATTTTGTAGATGAAATTTCATCATATCTAAACTGTATATTCCATTCCTAAAATCAACAGCAATAATAATATTCTGTTAGAAATTTTTATTTAAATTATTACTTTATTACTTAATAAAGAGTTACTTTTTTCAGCATCATAATTAGAAATATATCTATTTATTTAATTTTTATACTGATTTAAATTCATTTAAAATAAAATATAATTAATGTAAAATAAACTGCTTAGGATTAAAGAATGTGATTTTTGTTGTTCTGTGAACTTTTTTTACTATTTTATAACTTTGTACAAAGATTAAAACATAAACTTTTAATAAAATATAATTCTATTTATAGATAGTTTCTTAACATTAAACATCAGATTAAATAAAGAAAATAGATAGCAACACTGAAAGTATTAATCTTTACTAAATGTTTCTATTTGAAATGCTTCCAATTTACTTTTATCTATTAACAGTTAATCAATTATTATTAGTAAATGTATATTTCATTTTAAAAAATATAAGAAATTTCACAACAAACCTTTTCAAACAATTCAACATTCTGCACTAAAAACCTATATGCATTATACCATGGTAAGAAAACATCTTTTAAAATATCTCTTACACCTTCTTCTCGAAATCGCAAATTCTCAGCTCTGACAACGGGGGAATTTATTAAATATAATCTGAAAAATATAAATACTGTTACAATTCCTTGAAGTTACTAAATAATTAAATAATTTGTTAATTATCAACAAATTCTTAACAAGTATAGTTAAAATTTTGCATTATTATTTCATAAATTTGTAGGTTTATCTTTATATATTTAAATATATTTATTTGCCCTAAATTATTAATGCCTTAGATATACTTTAGAATACAAATTGCTATATCATTTTTGTGTAGTAAATTGAAGTAAGCTTGTGGTTTTAGTATTGAATTTTCTCCCAGTTCTAAAAGAATACATTATTGCAACTTTCTTACTCTAAGTAATGTAATAAAAAACTTTATAATTAAATATTAATGTAGGATAGTAGATTGATAACAGCAATCACTAATGACCATTAAATAAACAAACAGAAAAATAATTTACACAAATCTTTCTGAAACTTAAGAATTCTCGCCCAAGTAAAAATGATATATAGAAAATGTTTTTAAATATAAACATCTTTACTAAACCCAATATATAGCAATAACACCTTCAACTGCCATAAACCATTAGGCTTGTTTTGGCAGAATTGTGGCTCATTGAGATTGGTCAAGGTCTGGACCAATGGGCAATGCTCCATGATCTGTTAGTTTTGAATGGACAACAGACCTTGTAGAAAGCTATGAAAGAGTGAGAAAGCTGATTGGTTGACCACCGGCCTGCCATAACACATATATAGATCAGTTTAGGCAGAAAAGTTTGAGTTTGCTGTGGTCTCACTAAGAAGTTGATTTGCTTATAGAAGAAAAGAAATTATCATCTGATTTTGAAGACTCATCTGGCGAATGAGTAGATTTGTTATGTTATCGACAAGTGGTGCTTTTTTTCTTTTACTTTCTTCTGTGGCATTGGAAAGAGGGGCAGGGACTGGTTGGACAGTTTATCCCCTGGAAGTGCCATCTCACCATAAGGTGACTTCCTTGAAAGAACTTATATGGAATAAGAACATTTGTGAAGCATCAGCACTCTGGTTACAGACACCATTTTGTGAACATTCTAATTAATTTTCAATTTGACTGGCTATAATCTAAAGTTAATCTATAATTATTTAATTAAATTATAATTATTAAATTTAATACAAGATAATGCCTAATGCCTCCCTCTATGGCCAAATTTATTAGTAATTTATAATTATTATTTTATTGCCAAATTATAGCAAGATGTTTACAGCAGTTGAAGATGCTATAGAAAAATGTGTTTTTTTACCTTGATTTCAACAGCAACTGAAACAATAGACCAATTAGGAGAGTCTCAACTCAATATGTAAAACACTTAAAAAAAAATTCCCCACCAGCATGACTAACTGCAGGTTAACATTGATAGCATAATAGCATAAATAAGATTTTAATGCTTTGAATTTGATTGAAAGTAGCTCCGTAGTTAATCTTGTTAGTTAATCCTGTTGTTATTGCTATTGTACAAGTGGTAACCAGCAAACCAAACATACTGGTACCTCAGCTTAAAAAGTCTATTGTGCACCCCACAAGAAATTATTTCAGATGTCTAGTTGCTTTAAAAAAGATAGCAGTCCTCAGAAAAAATCTGAGGGACATCAATACAGCTCAGAAATGAGAAAATCCAGATCTACAAATTTGCCTGAGAATATGCACACACAAGATGCAGGAATCTCCTCCATAGAACCACAGAGCAACGAAAGGACTTAGGTGGAAATTTCAGTCAGCACAAATGTGACCATCTCATAATACTTAATAATAAAGTATGCTGCAGCCTTTGCTTAATTGTTCAAGTTTTTCATGAGTCCAAAAAGGTTGAAACAACTCTTATGGTTTTTTCCAAGTCCAATAAANTCCGCTGACGAAGTCGCGGGTAACAGCTAGTAAAATATAATAAGAACACTATTTAGCTATTTTAAAACACTATTTAGAATTTCAAATAATAAAATGGACTAAGAAGCTAAACATGAAATATCCTTCCCAAATCATAAAAACATTAATATATATTTTTTTCTTTTACTTTTCAAAAAGAAAAAGAAAAAAATGTCTGAATTCTTCAAGAACCACAACAATTTGAAACTTTTAATATTTATTTTAATTAATTTATCTTGTATTTAATACCTTTTCATATTCATTTGGTGTTATTATTTTATTTAAAAGTTTCATAATTTTGAAATATTATAAATTTTCTTAAGAAGGCAGAGCTAATCCTAAATCATAAAATCATAATTTTACAAATATTGATTGAAAATGAAACTAAGAATATTTTTTAAAATGCTAATTGAAATGAAGATTGTTATCTAACAGTAACCTAAATATAAACAATTTCAATGTTTTCTTTAACAAAACAAATATAGCTTTTCAAATGCTACCTTTCAATATGTTATCTTTGGAGATAAAAAGCTTACAAATTAAAATAACTTTTTAAAACTTATTTGAAGGAAAAATAACTAAACAATTATTATTAATATAAAGAAATTCACTTTTAAAAACCTTTAAAAAACATTAAACATTTTTAAGTAACTTCTTGTAAAGAAAACTTATTTTTATTTATTTATTAATTTTTAAGTATTATATTGGCAACAGATATAAATTTTGTATCTGAAAAATTATACATCTGATTTATACAAGCAATTTAATTTTTAATATAATAAATAAAATTCAAACCTTAATGCATCAGCACCATATTTATTGACAATTTCTACTGGATCTGGATAATTCTTCTTTCTTTTACTCATTTTTTGCCCATCACTATCAAATATAAATAAAAAATTAATCACTTAAAAGTTTTTGAAATTAATATAATTACACAAAACATAAATTATAACAGAAATTAGAGACCATCATCATAATTATTATTAATATGTTAATTGTATATTAAATATAGATAGGAAAAATTACCTTGCTAAGACTAATCCGTTACTTATTAAATTTTTGAAAGGTGGTTTTCCAAAAAGTGCAGTAGACAATACAAGAAGAGTATAAAACCTATTTTAAAATAATTATTATATTTATTATCATCTGGACTATAAATAAAGTTTTCTTTGAAATAATTCATTAGCAAAAAAATGCATTATCTTTGGATGCAAATATCTTAAAAATTATTTAAAAAAAAAAAAAAAGGGAAAAATATTAATATAAGCAATCTCATATCTAAATAGTCTTTAAATTAATAAATTAAATTTTTCTTAAATAGTATGTAGCATAGCTAATGACATAATTATCTTAAATTTGCATTTGTATTTATATCATAGACAAGAATCAATAAAAATAACAAACTTGTTCTCAGATGTAAATTAATTCTTTGTGAATACATACAATATATTTTTATTCATAAAAGTGCATTAAAGTCATAACCCAAGGTTTGGATAGTCTTTTTTAAAATATATGCCAGGTGACACTATATGAACTCATAGCAGGCACATCGGAGAGTAATGCTCATACTTGGCTATTTTTATATATTTTTTACACATGTATCTATATTTTCATTTATTCATAACTCCAAAGATCTGACTATAAACATTTCAAATATTTATTCTATTATAGAATGTTTTAAAAATTTTTGTTCTATTTAAATGCAACTGACATTTGATTTACAAATTTCAGACTTTTTAGTAGTATATAGATTATCCCAGATATATTAATTTTTTACATTTGTTTTATTTTTAAAGCTGATAATGATAATACTTGTAATAATAATAAAACAGAATATTAACAAATCTATTATACCACTATTATACTACAGAATATACTAGAAAATGGATATAATTTTCTGTTCTGTAATATGAAAACACTTACAATACTTATTGTAAACTAATTCATTATAATTAAATCTGGAATTGGCATTGTAATTACATATAATTACAAACTCAATCATTTCAATTTTAATAGAATTTCATCTTTATTTTGTCACTTTTAAACTATATATCAGACTATTAATATATTCACATATATTCATGCATATTCATGCATTTCGCTTACTATAAGCAAAATGCATTTAGATTTTACGAACATGAAAATAAATCACTCAAAGTTGGATAAGAGAGCATAGTTTTACTTGGTTTTAATCTAGAAATTATTTTATTAATTTTTAGAATTTACAACAAAAATTTTTTATATATATCAGACCTTTTTAAAGCATAACAATAAAAGTAAACAAAACTGTTAAAATCATTCCATAAATTTACTGAATTATTTTACATAGCATGTAGAAAAAATGAATATTCACATAATTATATTTGTTTTAAAGAAAATATTGGAATACAAATATAATCCTAAAGCTTTCTCAAGCTTCCCAGCAAAATTGTAAGTATTAAATAAATCTTTCGATGTAAACTTTAAAATGTTTAATCATCTAACAAACATTTCTAATTTCAAAAGTGGAGTAAAGCAGTGATGTAAATAACAACCATTCTAAACATTCATTTATACAGGGTTCCATATATTTTTTAATTTATTGGATAATAAATAATTTGCTTGATTTCATTTATTCAGCAACATTCCATATATTATTCCATATAATCTGTTTCATCTACAATCTACTAAATAACAATAACACAAAGTAATTAAAAGTTATCAGTTTATGTTAATATCTTTATTAATTTTCAATAGTATTTTTCTTCCTCAATCAATAATTTTAAATTACTGCATTCAAATTCTATATAAAACATGCTTCCAATTGTTAAAATTAATTAAAATTGTTCATTTTAATATCTTTTAATTTCATAAATACAGAACACTTGAATTATACTGTTTTAGAATCAAATAGATGATGATGATGATAATGATAATACAGTAATACCTCGACTTATGCTACCCCGACTTACGCAAACCTGGAGTTATGCGATTTTCAAATCTTGTTGATTCGTCTTTTGTTTGAGCGCCACGCAACTCTCGATTACTCACTCCCCCCACACTATTGCTTAGCTTACATGTTCGGATGTGCCGCGCAGAATCGACGCATAGCTAAAATTTATTTTGTGTTATTTATTTCTGTGTTTGTTATATCTACGGAGACTTGAGAGACTCTATGTAGTATTTCTTGTAACCACGAACAAATCAAAAGACAAGATAAGATTAACAAGAACATTTATTAGCTTACATACATCCGACTTGGATTTTACACAAATTGCAAAATTATACCCCGACTTACGCAAATTCGACTAACGCGGTTATCACTCGGTCCCACCTATCGCGTAAGTTTGGGGTATTACTGTACATTATTATTATTTTTACTGTATATCATTCTCAGATTGTGTCCAGTATCAATCTCACAGGTAGGCCCAAGAACCAAGCCTATTAGACCAGTATGAAACCTTAAGCAGTTTGGAGGAATTTTCTGACAATATGACAAGTTGCAAGAACAGCAGCTCTTAAAGATCTATATAAATTTGAGTGAATTATTATTATAGTGGGTTACTCGATTCACACTGGTGGCTATGTACTATGCCGAACCAGAGTCAAGACATAGCAACCAAAAACAAAAATTAAATAAGTGTGTCAGTGTCTGTATTCAGGAATTTCCTAACAATGTGGCATGTATTCAATATAGTTGCCTTATGTAGTGTGATGTATGTATTTCTCTTCAATTGTAATGTTCCTAGGCTTTAGTGTAGTGTGTGTGGTATCACAACTGTACAGGAGAGAATGACAGGTACAATAAGCACCTTATCCATCCTCCACAGATGCCTTATTTCCTGGGCGAGTTCTGTGTACTTGCTAATTTTTTCAGTGCATGTGTTTTGTACATTGTGAGTGTTTGGAATGGCTATGTCTATAATGTATGTGATTTTATTGTGTTTGTCAATGAGTGTGATGTCTGGTCTGTTGTGGTAAATTGTTTTATCTGTGATTATGGCTCTGTCGTAATACATTTTGTGCGTGTTATTTTCCAATACTGTCTGTGGAATATACTTGTAGTATGGTTCGTGGATGTCTGCCAATTTGTGTTTCTTTGCAAGCTCTTGGTGTATTATATTTGCTACTTGATTGTGTCTATGTAAGTAATCTGTCTGTGCCAAGAGCTTGCAACCAGAAGTGATGTGTTGTATAGTTTCTGGCATGATGTGACATTTTCTGCATGTGTCATTTGTGAGTGTTGTATCTTTGAGTATGTGTTTTCTGTAGTTTTTAGTATTTATGACCTGATCCTGTATGGCAATCATGAATCCTTCCGTCTCCCCAAAGAGGCATCCCCGATCTAACCAGCTGTTTGACGCAGTTTTGTCAACAAAATCCTGGGCCAGGTCGTAAGGATGCCTGCCATGGAGAGCCTTTTGAGCCCATGATTGCTTAATGTTGTCTATGCTTTTTATATGTTGTGTCATGTCTGTATGTTGTGAGTGTAAGTTTAATGGTGTGTTATTTGAGTCTGCTAGAGTTACTGCTTTATGTAACTGTGATGTTTCTTGTTTCTTGTAGAAAAACTCTCGCAGTGACTGTATTTGTTTGTAGTGAAGGTTAACTATGTCAATCAGGCCACGTCCGCCTTCTTTACGTGGAAGGGTTAATCTTTCTGTGGCGGATTTAGGATGATGTTGTTTATGCTTAGTAAGTGTTGTTCTTGTTTTCCTTTGGAGTTGCTCGAGATCTGTGTGAGTCCAATGTATAACTCCAAAAGAGTATGTGAGTACTGGGATGACATATGTGTTTATTGCTTTAACTGTGTGTTTTGCATTTAACTGTGTTCTAAGTATAGCGTTTAACCTACTTTGGTATTCTTTAATTAATCGTTGCTTTATTTGTGTATGTTCTGTTAGTTTGGCCTGTTGGAATCCTAAGTACTTGTAGAACTCGCCCTCTTCCATGGATTCAATAACGTCTCCATTTCCAAGTGCAAAATCTTCTTTCTTCAGGATTCCTTTTTCTATGTGAAGTGTTTTGCATTTGTCTAAGCCAAACTCCATTTGTATGTCCTTAGTGTATGAATGTGTGATTTGTAGGAGTTGATGAAGTTGTTTTTGTGTGGATGCATAAAGTTTTATGTCGTCCATGTACATGAGATGTGAGAGTGTAAACTGTGTTGTTTTTTCGTGTCTGATATTGTAGCCGTATTGCGTGTTGTTTAACATGTTGGATAATGGATTCAGGGCTAGGCAGAACCAGAGAGGACTCAAGGAATCTCCTTGAAAAATTCCTCGCCTAATGAATATTTCGTTTGTTTGTATGGAAGTGTTACTAACCCTGAGATGTAGTGTTGTTCTCCAGTGCTGCATAGTGTTTTGGAAGAATGCAATGAGTGATGGATGTATTTTGTACATGTGTAGAATATGTAGTAGCCAACTGTGTGGAACACTGTCGAATGCTTTTCTGTAGTCTATATATGCCATATGTGTTTCTGTGTTGTTTGTGTGCTTGCCGTAGAATGACTGAATCTATGAGTAACTGTTCTTTGCATCCCGTGATTTCTACGGCAACCTTTTTGTTGTTCTGTAAGAATGTCGTGTTCTTCAACATGTTTGTATATTTTGTTTGTGATACAGGATGTCAATAATTTGTATAGTGTTGGAAGACATGTAATTGGTCTGTATTGTGTGGGGTCTGCAGTGTTGTTGTTTTTAGGTTTCATGTATGTGGTGCTCTGAGTAAGAAATTTTGGCTTGTCTTGTGGATTGATGATGATGTGTGTTAGATGTTTATCTAGTTTCTGGTGCAGTGATGTAAACTTTTTGTACCAGAAATTGTGAATGTTGTCTACACCAGGTGTCTTCCAGTTGTGNGAGTAAGAAATTTTGGCATGTCTTGTGGATTGATGATGATGTGTGTTAGATGTTTATCTAGTTTCTGGTGCAGTGATGTAAACTTTTTGTACCAGAAATTGTGAATGTTGTCTACACCAGGTGTCTTCCAGTTGTATGTTTTGTTAACAGTGTAACACAGTGTTTCTCAACGGGGGCGATATCGCCCCCATGTGGGCGTTTTTCCATGTTGAGGGGGCGATTTGTAACAATTTATATTTTGTGGCGAAAAACAATTTTCTGGGCGATATAGTAAAACATTATATTAAGATTAATTAGATATTTTATTCGTTACATCGTACAATAATTAAACAAATAACATTATACCAGTCACTAGTCCGTTCAATGCAGTACGAATTTGGCCCTCGACATCGGAATTTTGAAGTGGAGGGGGCGATACTACGTTGAAGGGGGCGACGGTTCGTTAGAGGTTGAGAAACACTGGTGTAACAGATGTCGTGTACTTTTATTTCAGCACAGGGCATAGTTGGTATGTTGTGCAAGTTTCTGTTCTCCTCCTCGATCCAGCCTGCATCAGCATTGTGTGTAATAGCATTGGACCAAAGAGAAGACTAATAAGTTGTGAGTTCTTCTTCTGTTGNGTTTATTTCAGCACAGGGCATAGTTGGTATGTTGTGCAAGTTTCTGTTCTCCTCCTCGATCCAGCCTGCATCAGCATTGTGTGTAATAGCATTGGACCAAAGAGAAGACTAATAAGTTGTGAGTTCTTTTTCTGTTGGTGTGCCACTGTGGTGTATCAGTGTTTGTTTTGGTACTGATTTGTCTGTAGAAAAGTTTTTCATTGTTTGTGAATAATTTATTTTGTTGTTTTCGTAGTGTACATGTTTTGTATCGTTTGAGTCTACGTGCTTTGG